CTTGCATATAGTGGGATTTGATACTAACTTTGCACTTTCGTTCTCATTTGTTGATGTATGTTGTGGATCTCATGAGAAAATGGAAAATATGTATCCATATGTAAACGATTTCGAGTAAGTAAGAGCTGCCGCTAGCATAGCAAATATATTGTTTGATCATTTCATTTCATATTTACCTATTTTGCCCAAATTACGACCAATGTTGACCGACACAGTGAGTGTCTGGCATCATCGCTAGGCGCTCTCGTTGCTATGGTTTCTGTACCCTGTAGTGAGCTACGTATCCCAGGAGAACACGGCAATCTGTAGCTAAAGTAGTCGATGACACAGGTGAGGCGGCATATCAGTATCATCAGCAATCAATCAATCTTTATTCATGGTACTGATGAGGCCAAGGCCTATTAGACATTGTCTGGGGTGTTTTACAAATTCACACATTTTCTTTGTTTCATAGCATGTTACATGAACATTGATACATTTCTCATAGTTTCTGTACAATAACATGTCATTATTTACAAAATGTGTTACCATTTGGGTTGTGGTAGAAATAGTTATTCATATATTTTGCTCTTAAACCATTATACACGGGACATACACATAAAAAGTGATATTCATCTTCAGTACAATCAGTTTTATGTTCTCTTGCATATATCTATCTATCTATCTATCTATCTATCTATCTATCTATCTATCTATATATATATATATATATAGATCATATGAGCTTCAAAGCTTTCGAGAAAGAGCTGTTCTAAACGTATGTACATTTACACTTTAGATAATGTTCTGGTATTGCAAAAGTGTAGTAATTTGCTTTTCTAGAACTGGACACGGAGCCATGGCAATTTTGGATATACATGTACAAATATTTTAATGCGCTGTGGGCCAACCTTTACCCACAGGCGGTTTAGAGTTGGAATACAATGTTGATGTGAATAATAATCCCGCAGATTCTGATTAAGGGGACATACCAGAGGTTGTCATCATGAGCATCGATCCATGCAATTGAGATACGATGAAATGCATCAACCAAGTCAGTGAGTCTGACCACCCAATCCCGTTAGTCGCTTCTTACGGGTCAGATCTAAATATGAAACAGACAGGCGGTCTCACTTGTCTCCTTTATTTTTAGTTCAGGAATGGAATTGGTTATTTGATTGTTGAACGACGATAAAATCGTCCATATACCTGAAGCTTACGTTAAACTTCTTGGCCAAATTCCCTTGTTTTTACTTTGCCAATCCGAACAGAATTTCCGATTCATATGCATAAAAAAACAGAGCCGCAAGAAGGGGAGCACATTTGGTGCCCATGGGGATGCCTACTTCTTGCCTTAATGTCTTACCCCAAAAGTTTACGTACATATTATCAATGAGGAAGTTCAGCATTTCACATACTGTTTTCTCAGTAAACTTCAGATGGTATTTGCTTTCATTTTCCACATATTGTCATGAACCTCTGAATATAGACTTGTAACTGTATCTGTGTTCACCAAGTTTTGTAACAAAAGCCCCATGGATCGAGGAATGCAGTTTTTCCTTACGTTTGTCATGTGGGATAGTGGTGTACAAGGTTGGAAAATCAAATGTTTTGACAGAATGGAACTTCGTAGCAAATCCTTCTTCAGAATCCACAGGGTATTAATTCCACTTGTATCAAATTCTTTCTGTGAATATAAAGAAAGTCCTTCGTTGACTTAAAATTCAACAGATCAGTATATGTTGGTCTGAGTATTGTTGTTCTTGTCAAAACACTTATTGTGAGATTTTTATAACAATGGACTTAAGAAGCAAGATGTGAGGTGTTATATACTGATACAGGTTCTTTGTTAATGGCAATACAAACTGATGATGGGTAAAAAATATATGGCAGGAATGATTACCCAAAAGATAATCAATTGCACAGCACAGTAAATAAGAAGGTATTAGGTAAGATGAAGGATGAATGTGCTGGAACTCCTATTGCTTAGTTAGTTGGATTAAGACCGAAAATGTATACTAGAAAGAATGAGGATATAAAAAAAGCTAAAAGTTTCAAGAAGTATGTTGTAAAAAGCATGTAAAACATAAACAGTATAAAGAGGCATTATTCAACGGTAGAACATTCAAACATGAGATGAATACTATAAGAATTGATAAGCACATGATATATTGGTTTCGAATGTGTAAGACATCATTATCCTCATTAGATACAATACGCTGAATTGATAAGGATGGTAAAACCACCTATACCACCTTTACCTATGGCTACTTACGGAGGTAATACTGTATCACTGGGAACTATAAGCAGCTCTCGTACAAATTGCCTGGCCTATCTTTAAGATAATACAAAAAAGGTTCACTCTCTTTCATAACCAATCGACTAAGGATATATTTCTTATGAGGCCAAACTGGATCACTCGCACGACGTTGACCTCCTTCACAGGGCTGGTATAATATCTTACACTTAGTCTATCTGGAAGTTAATGTCCTTGACCTCTCCGTGGCGCTAAAGATTCAGGAGTCACAGATTTCATTTTAATGGCATCGGATGGTTTCTAACCAATTAATCTTGTTACTTCATTATTTAGCGCTTCTACAACAGCTGAAACTCGTGCCACCCATTCTGTTGATCTTTTATCAGTCATCACAATCTCCTGAGCACATTGATATCCAAACAAGTATTCTGCTAATGTTCCGTTAAATCTTTCAACAATAGCTTGTCTACGCCGAGCCTCTTTTTCATCACGCCTGATTGTAACCGCATGTTTTGTTAACAGTTTAGCTACTGATCCCATAAACTCGCAGGTATATTTGCCATATTGCTTGTTTCATTAACCAATCCTGAGCAATATTTCTAGATACCTCAGCTGCTGTAGCTGGTTTTTGTATTGCCCCTTTTCCTTCTAATATCCTCGCAGGCCATAGTATAGGCTATAGCGGAATTGAAAGTCTTAGGCTTACTGCTAGATCGTGTAGCTGCATACATGCAGTGATGACAGCTATGCACTTTTCAGGTTCAAATAACAGGCACCCAGAGGATTTGTGCAAGCACCTGGAAAATAAGTTTTGTCTCAGAATCTGACATCACTGGCTACATTAGTAATTACTTTAAATTAACATGAGTCGTTCGAGAAAACTTTGATACAGGAACCCCAAACTAGGATGCATATATTTACCTAAATTTGGATTTACATTCTCCAAAGGCACTCTCTTTGATGTTGCGGGTTTCAGTGTGGGCCCTTTTATACCTCTCCTCACTGGTTTTGGCTGGGTTCAGTACTGGGGTCAGCAGATGCGGTTTACATAGATATCTGTAACAGCATAATGTATTATTAATGTTCATAGCATGTTTAATTTGCATATAACAAACCTTTTCAGAAGCACAAGAAATATTTTACTTCATACATGTCATTGTTAACATATACAGAGGAATGTTAGTAACTCTTTCATACATAATGTAATATTTTCCTATTTTCTCTTGCAGTCACCGCTCACATATGGTATACACATAATTCAATTTGATCAAATAAATAAAGCAAAATGATTGCTTGGAAAGATTTAAGAGCGAGATTACATGTAAGGAATCTATGATTTATGGATAGCCATTTTGCATATAGACAAGTCATTATCGATATATAGACAAGAGAACTCAGGTTGAATATCTTCATGTTTTTTCATTACCCTGAATCACTAAGCAGCCATCCATCTGGTTTATCTTCCTCGACAGCTCTCTATCAATGAACAGTTGTTGTTCACAACAACATTGGTGAAACGGGAAAACAAAAATATAAGATTTATCTCCAGATACTGTTTGCTCATAATAAGGTTTATCGAGACAAGAATTACCCTTTCATTATTATATTTTTAAAAGGAACATATTATTCATGTTAATGAATTATTATTATTATTAAAAAAACAAATGTAAAATTATTTTATACATTACTCTTTTCTGTATTGACATGCACACAGGGAAGAACGTTATACATTTAATACCAAAGTTCATGAGGTATGGACTTTATTTTGCAATTAAATTATATTATAGACCGCTGCCAATTATACTTCATAAAGTATTGGCAAGTCTATGTATTACATTTCCGGTAAAGGGGTCAAGGACGTACTATTTATAGTTACCGAAGTTTAGCGTAGCACACTGCCTGAACATTGACAGTGTGGTATCCTTTTCGTGATAGGCGACCTCGTCCACTTTAGGTCTCTGTATAGGGATGAGGGTGCAATCAATACATCCAAAAACTTTGGGAAACAACATATTTGGTGGAAATCTTCCATAAGTTGTCTGTGATTGGCCAGTGTTGGAAAATGTATCAGTCGGACGGTACGGTGAATGGCGGACGTGGTATCGGCAAGTAGTCTGGAAACTCCGTAAATATAGATGATCTCTATGTAAAGACCCTCTTTAGCAAAGTATCTCAAGGTACACAGCACTTGTACCTCTGTAGATAGAGAACGCGAACGTTAAGTCGGTCGAGATGGCTGTTTAACCAGTTCAATGAATGCATGTCTCGGGAACTGATATCGCGAATTCAAATCAATATCATCTAAAACATCTATTGCCCGACTTCGGTCCCTGAAAACACGTTCTCTTCTAATACGGTTTCTATAAATCAGTAGAAGGGAATATGTTATTGAGTAATATCAGATCATCGATATATCTGAAGCTATATATGAAACTCCTAGCCTAAATAGCCTTTTGAGCAGAAAGCAGAGTCCGTGCAGCAAATTCGTTTCTTATGCATAAAGAAACATCTCAGCAAGAAGGGGCACATAACTGGTGCCCATGAGGATGCCTACTTCTTGCCTAAATGTCTCACCCACAATTTTGCATAGATGTTAAAGCAGGTGCTTGAGATGTTAAGTATTTGTAAGAGCACGTGTACGTCCATGTATTTGTTGACGTGTCATCATTGATGACTGAGCTGCGAAACAGGTATGAGTATTGATATGTTGAAATGTAAAGTCCGAATATAACAGTTTTATACAATTGATTTGTTCACAGCGCCAATGGAGTCTCACACGTTTGGAAAATGGGATTACACAGTGTTTGGTGTCATGGTAGCCGTCTCAGTGTTTATTGGCATATACCACGCCATAGTCGGCAGACATGATAGACTGGAGGAGTACTTCCTGGCTGGACGTGCTATGCCCTTCTTCCCCATAGCGTTGTCGATGCTGGCTTCGTTCACGTCCATCATTACCATGCTTGGAGCATCAGGAGAGGCGTATAGTAATGGCATCATGTGGGCTCTCAAAGAAATAGCGCAATCAGTGGGAAAACTTATAGACATGTGCCTCCTGCTGACCCTTCTGAAGAGACTGAACTTATCAAGCCCATTTCAGGTAGTGTTGTATTTCACATTCTCAATGACCATAAACAGTCAGTCGACAGGGAGTAGCTTTGTGTGTAGTGCATTCATTTGTCTGGCAAAGGGGAGGTTATATTTCCATTTCATACACCCAACCCCCCACCCCCACCCCCATATTGTGACAGCAACAGCTTATTGGTGTTAGTTGCCTGTCTCAGAGTTTGTCTGAAATTAGAATTGTTTATTCATCATTTCTATTTGTACTGGCATTTGACCGTTATTTGTTCCAGATTACTTGTGTTTTGTTTGAATCTCTGCCAAAAGCTGATCCAATTGTACGATTCAGACTGTATCACACACTTCCAAATTTGACGCATCAGAGACACACATGATGTTCAGTGCACGTGCTATTCCTCCTTTTGACTTGTACTATATGTTCTCTTGTTTACTTGACTTTGCATGTGTTTGTGACGGCTGCCACTGGTGAGGCAGGATACGTTCATGTTTTCGTGAAAGCCTGTTGTCATGACTGATTGTAGTAATTCATAAATACAAGCAACAAAACCCTTTCCATTATCACACGAAATCTCTGCTAAAACAAGATTCGATGTTATGATTCCTAACACATTATGATCATATGTGTATGAATAACTATAACACAGTGATGATACCAGGTGTTAACGAACAGGTGAGCCCAAACAAACACTGGAACGTCCAGTACGACTTATTATTGTCGGAACTGCACAACTGAAACTGCTTTTGCAGAGAATATTATTGAATGCACAAACGGTATATTCTGTCTAGATATGATTTTTTTTAAAATGACACGTCTTTATAAATTCAATGAACTAGATAGAGTAAACAATGAGTAAACCATGTGTCGAAAAATAAATGAGTAATGGTAAAATGAGTAGTACATGTTGCTAAAATGAACTTATTCCCGTTTCAATAAGTTTGTTAACTGTACATAAATTCTCTCCCTCATTAAAATAAACGCCGCCATAAAGCTGGAATATTGCTGAGTGCGGCGTTAAACAACAAACAAACAAACAAAGATTTACAAAAAAAAAGTCATATTGCATCTACTTTAGTTTTTGTCCCGCTAGCGCAGGTAACCTACTAAACATTGCATGGTTATATATATATATATGTGTTATATATATATATATATATATATATATATGATCATGGATCAAGGATTATCATTTCTCATATATTTGTTTTAGATAGCACTTGTACAATATTAAATTTAATATTTTCTCTTTTGCTGTTTTCATTGAAACATGATGGAATTTAGAAATTTTGATGACTGGTTTTGTATAGCTAATATATTTTCCAAAATTGTTTCCACACATCATAAGTATCTGTAAATGTGCTTTGTGTTAAGTTTGAATTTATGAATTCTTTACCATATCTCTTAAGGCTAGATGGAAATGATTAATTTATTGATTTATTTATATGATATCGTTCCATTTTTTATGTGTTTTTATATCAACAATTTTTAATCCTTTTGATAATTCTTCTTATATAACTCCTCAATCAAATTTTTATTCAAAGGTGTTCATTGTGATATACTTCCTCGTAGTGAACACTGGTAACATGGGAGATTTGGGGGGTGGGGGTGTGGGTGGGTGTGTGTGTGTGTGTGGGGGGGGGGGGGGGGGGGGGTCAATTGTCACTGGAACTCAATCTTAGTTTTTAAAACATTGAAGTTCAAATCAGTTAGAAATATTTTAGACTGTAAGTCTTATTCTTTTCAGTGCTTCGAAGGAAATTAAAATTATATTATTATTTCCTTGGTTCTTCTCATTTCCAGTATATCGAGGGTCGCTTCAAGTCCAGACTTCTCACCCTCATGGTGACGGTGGCGTCTTGTGTACAGAATGTAAGACCCCTCTTGCCACCAACAGTTCGACCCCTGAGTATAATCAATTTCGTGTAGTCAGGGAGAGTAATTAACACATAATATGTCCATACATAGTATCATTTAAGGACAGTTTGGTTGCATGATGTCGTAAGTCGTATTGCCGATTTTCTTTGCAAAGTCTGGAAACCCTGCTTTATATCATAAAGAAATGAATAGAGTGCCAGATGAAAATAATTCGACTTACTTCAAAGTAATACTTGGAATTCAAACATGTTTTATCTGAAGTACAAATACAAGTGATTCATATGTTGTGTAAGAAACCTATAAGATATCCTACTTGTAAAACCAAATCAGATGAATGTTAGTTATTTACATTCATTATGAAATCCACCAATAGTCTGTATATTGTTCACAAACACTCAAATAGTTTGCAACTACGTTCATGGTCCTCCAATAATGTCTAATATCAGTCATACTTGAGTGTCAGTCTTGCAGAGCATATACACAAACGCACAATTTCCTGTGTATCAATGACGAGCATATTAAATAATAACAATGGACGATTTTGCATCTTAACAATTGACTCATGTCCATTAAACATGATTTCGTCATCACAGTTTCAACAGTCGTCAGCACATCTCAGGGTAAAAGTGGCGTGTGGGCTATTGCCAGTTCATAAGTCTGTATTGTGTATGACCACCATTATTGTTACGGCAAAGATTAAGGAAGGCCTGTGGGATGTTATTCAAGATCAGGACCAAGGCCTGTCACACCAGTTGGTTTGAAAAACGGCGAAAACAACGTTTCATTTCATCCCACATATGTTCGATGGGCGACAGATCTGGCGAAGCATCAGACCAATGAGGTGTAGGAATGTTCTGTTGCCCAGGGAAGTCGTGACGGCGTGCATTGTCTTGCTGTAAATTTCTATGATGTCCATGGGTCTGAAGGAACGTTAACTTCGTCACGGTACCGTACACCTGTCACACTGCCGCCGATAACACCAAGAGAGGGCCTATAATGTGCTCTGATGATACAATTACGCTCCCGAAACCGAATGCAGAACGTTGGACAACGCATGTTCCGTCGATAAACATCTTGACAGCCGTCAGTGCTGTCAAGATTAAAACTTGGACTCTATCGTTCTGTCCGACGTCGATAAACGTCGACCTATCTGTGAAGAGGTCTAACCTCCGGTCCTGTAAACTTCAGATGCAGTCTTGTGTTGCAAGGTGTGCATTTTGACGTCTGTCTTACCTCGATTTCAATGTCCTGCCGAACAAAATCAATGCTTCCATTCGAGCAGCCAAGACGTTTCTTAAACCTTTGAAGTATGCATGGCGACTCATATAAGTTCATTTGAAGACCTTTCCTCCTGATAAAACTGCAGAGACAGTGCCATTTGATATGATGTCCTTCCCTGATATTACGCGCCCTTTCTGTTCTGTACGGAGATCAAAACTTTTGTGTCACTTTTATTACCCTCAAGTGTACAGATGTGATGTAAATGTGTGTTACTTCCCACATCAAACATCTGATTACCGGTCAATTAATTACTTTGTTTGCATACAGATATTGACCAATAAGAGAGGGAATTAGGAATTAAGATTTACGTTATGTGAATAACAGGAACTTTGTAGATTATGAACAATCTAAATCATACCACCTCGAAGAATTCTCTGTCACGTATATCGTTGACAGTACATGAATGTTTATCCTTTACGATCCAGAGCATAGGTGATACTGATTAATTGTTTCCTGTGAGGAAATCGATTTGAAGGTTTTCTAAAAGGTGTATCTATCTGCAGGTTCATTCACCAACACGTCATTCTGTATAGTTAATCAATGACTTCTGTTGGATGAAATTCGCTTTCTCATTTGCCAAATAGTGATACTAATCTTACCTTGGCTCCAGTCATTTACCTCTAATTTGAAAAGTAACGGGTTTCATCTTAGTGAATACTGTAATCCTCCGCGGTTCCTTCTTAAATATTTTAACAATACCATTTTGTGTTGGTTTGGGGATTGTTGACTAGTGTGATTATTTTGTGCCATTTAGTTTGTGTGAAAAGCAATAACGTATTTGCTCCCACAGGACTATCATACTTTCTTTCCTTTTTAATTGATGGTGTTTTTTACCTTCAGCAAAATAAATACATTTTTATGAATATTGCTTGTTCAGAATGCCACCGTCAATATGAGTGACACTTCTTCCACGCTCTCAACTGGCAAGACTCATGAACACCCAATAAAGAGAAGTGCAGGCTTCGCAATATGTTTGCCTCACACATGTAGCATATTGAAGAAATGATATTGGTTTTTAAATGTGGAGAGGTAAAAAATACCATTTCTTATTGTTTGTTATGTTTTACTTTTCAGTTAAGCAAACTTTTTGTGTCATCATCGAGTTGTTTCATAACATTCGAATTTACTCTCAAAAAGCAAGACAGATGACGGTCGACCATGCGTATACAGGCATGTGCAATTCTGCCGTCCAGGGACACACAGGTTTAGCGCTATTAAAGCAATAACATATTCCGTCGTTTTAAATTGTTAGGTTTATAAGTTATAGAAACACTCCCTACTCTCGGTTTTACTTACCTAGTCCCCCTAGATCAGGGTTTACTAACCGAGTTTTGTTTTCTCCTTACACATTTAATCTTATTCCTTATTGCTTATTTTCAGATGTTCTACATGAGCATAATCTTGTTTGGCCAGGGAATGGCATTGCAGGCCGGTAAGACGAACGGACAACATTGATTAAGACATCTTTTGTTGTGTATTTACCAAACAACGAAGGTGTGCATAGTTGAAACATTCTAGCCTAAACACCACACTTGTATTTCTCGCTTACACAGCACTCAAAATACATTTAAACGACATCCCATAATAGTACTGGCACCAACACAAAATACATCTCTTCATACCACGTTCGTACACTGTATATTGTTTGTACTCCCCTTGTATCACACCTGCATTCAACATGTACCACTCATGTTTCACATAACTACCACATTGGTACATTTAAAGGGGAAGTGTACACGCAAAAATCACTTTCTTTCTTTTTCTAAACAAAACGCAATTTTAGAATTAATTAGTATCTGTGTTTGAAAATATACACTCATTTTTTTCACAGTGAAAGTAGGAAGCTCACAATAGTGTGAAAATGATATGCCGTTATGAGGCCTTCGTTTTTCGAGCTAAACAGGCCTGAGTTATCCCCCTTAGATTATGACGTAATTGGTGCCAATTCAACTGGGTCCCTGTCTATTCTCAACGCAAAAGATATCAAGTACCAGTTTGCGGTAAAACAACATGGCCTACGACACACTCCGGCGCAGTGGTGACTCAGCATAACACTATGCTGGCTGGCATCTGAGACGCTAGAATCACACACCTAGACCTACACCACGTGAAGCGGCTCTAACAAAGCATGATGACGTCATAATGTTTATCAATTGGCACCAATGACGTCATATTGCAAGGGGCATAAGCCATGGTGTTTTTGTTGTGGAAATAGAACACTTGGTAAATGTGAAAAATATAAATCGTTTTAATGCGAAAAATATGTTAATTAATTGTGATATTTTTATATTTTTGTCTATGACACTTCTAGGTTAACACTTTTAATGTGGAAAAAGTACAAGAAAAATAGGTTAATTTCCGTGTGAACTTGCCCTTTAAGGTTCATAACCGTGCCTGTTAATAGCCAACCTCCATCTATGATGGAAAGCATACATTCAGTGGTGTCGTGAGTTTGTCCATTTTGTACGTATTTAGGCAGGCACCTCTAACAGCGTTTTAATAGAAACTATTATACGAGCATGTGTGCCATACTGATCTTATGAAGCGAGAGTCAGAATTTTTATTTCTCTCAAGCGAGAGCGGTGGTAATACATGAATTCTTATATGAATTCGTGAAAGCAGTATGACAAACATGTGAGTGCAATTGTAAATTTTCAATAAATTGTATATCAATAATGCTTATCCCACCTCGCACTATGTTTTTCTGTTTCCTCTTTCAATCCTGGAGTGCCGAAACAAAGGTTTCAAGCTTCTTTAAAATATTTCATCCGATTCAGGGATGGATTCAGGGATTGACGGATGCGCGTGTCAGATAGGATAAGTATTATAAATATTCAATTTATAGTAAACATTTAAAAAATTATTCCACGATTCGAAGATGGAAGCAACTCTCTTGTCTATAAAGACAACTATCGTAGGATATACACGAGGAAACTGGTATGATTCAACGCCGTATTAAATAACACTGTCTAGTGTGTTAATAGATATATTCCCGTGTTATGAGTTTTCGGACGCTGAAGAAACATTCGCAAATCACAGAACCGTAAAACATCTCATTCATTTATGTCAAGTGAAGATGGTGAAGATATTCAGCAATTTGTTGTGGAGATGCAGTGGCAGGTGTGGAAAAAACCCAGTAAGCTTCATAACCCGTCCACTTTTGTGGCGTTGAATATGTATGAACCTCAGAAATGGTTTTGCCTACCTTCAAGAGTAACCCTTGGCGACAAGTAAATTCTGTAAATGCGCCAGACGCACATATTGAGGGCTTTGGGTGAAGCAGTTGAGAGTGAGGTTGAGGATGAAAATCGACCCTTAGATGTGGATGATGCAATCTCTTAGAGGTGAATGATGTCTAACTCCGTCTTGGCCAATAGGGTGTGACCCAAAGCTGTGTGAGGTGTCTGGTGGACGTAATCTTTTGCAGAACCTTAGGGAGAAGACCAGTTGGGGGAAACGCATTAGCATGTGGATAAGATTGCTAATGCGTCGTGGTCGCAGGCCAGAGTATATGGGATGGGAAATACGAACCAGGATATGTGAGAGTTGAAGCAGGTTATAAATATCTCGAAACTCAACTGGATATCGTTGGATGCAGGTGCCATTTCATGGTAGGTGGTTTGTCAGGTCAGATATGCCGGGGAGGTGTCTCGCCCGAACCTGAATGTTGAGTGAGTCGATCAGTTGAAAAAAAATCGCTCGTGTTATTTTTTAAAGTGACATTGACTTGGTGGAGCCCATCTTCTTTATGTACCAACCAACGGATAGGTTGTCCAACTGGTTCATCGTATTGGAGGAGCAGAGGACTATTGCCACTACTTTGAACTCTAGGTTGTTGAGAAGATGGATGCCCTGTCACTTGTAGTTCCTGACAATGAGCTCCCCAAACCCATGGTTGAGGCATCAATTAAAAGATGTAGCACTGTGATAAACGACCACGAAAAGACTTCTTTGCAGACGTCGATAGAATCAGCTACCATTGGATATGTCGGTGTGAGTAGTTCAAAAGTGTAAGTGGTTCAGGGACATTCAAACCTGACAATCATCGTTGTGGAGATAGGGCTTAAGAAAGCACTGAATTGGTCATATGTGGAGTTGTCCCCTCCTCGTGAGAGCCTGTGCTGACCTCAGGGGATCGAGGATTTGATGGCATTGTTAAAGATAAAGAGACTGTTTGAGCGCCAATGACACAAGGTGTTGTATCTTCATCCAACGATGCTGGGGCACGAAAATCTTTCCTTGGCCAGTGTCAAAGAGGGCCCCAATAAACTTGAAGGCCTTGAGATTTTTTGGCGTTGATAATCTAACAGAGTTGATGAAGTAGAAAGTGCATGAGGTTAGGATGTACCGGAGGTACCTCAAGGTATAATTTCTTGAAGATTTTCATGTTCTTTCTTTGGGACGAGGATTTGTAGAAGGCTTTGTACAAATGGGTCGTCTAATCGTCACAATCATCCGCCGATGGGGGATGGTATCACTGGAACGATAGAAAGCAGAAGGGTCCAGTCGTTCGCAAGAGGAGGGAAGTAATATGGAAGCCATATCTCCCGATCTGGGAGTTTCGGCACTACTTTTACGTCTGGAGAAGATATGGTAGGGTCCGTCCACTTGGTTTGCCACCATATTGTCCATGGTGATCTCGTTCCCAGCCATGAAAAGAGCTAAGACCTATTACTCAAATCTTCTTGCAGGTCTGGAGTTGAAATGAAAGCTGGCTGCTTGCTCTCTTTCCAAGTAAGTTTCTTCACCATAGTGTCTAGGTGAACTAGATCTCTATCGTCCACAGAAGAGCATGAAAACGGACGCTTGGAGCCAATGTCACCATATCCCCGTCCAGTTCGGGAGGCACAGTTGATGGGTCATGCATACCTGCATCAGATGAGACAAAGTGTGGAGACTGTAATCGATCAGCTAGCACCGGCTATGGAGGAATTGTAATATTGGGCTGCGAGGTGGCTGAAGGGTAAACAAAAGATGATAAAGTATCTTCGGCCAAAGTACTCTGGGAAAGTTTAAGTATATCCACAATCCAAATGAGAACGGTAACTGGATCTGCTGTGTGAAAACTACCTGTGGACAAAGCAGGAGACGCACGACGGTCAAATAACTCTTCCTCTGGCAATGGATCCATGAGAGAAGTAGAAGTAGACTGTCGATGTCACAGGTGGCATAGATGCCAGCTTGGAAGTTGCTGTATCCGTAGGAGGACGTGACTGAGGGGAGGCATGCTGACGTCATAGCTTGTAAAAGTGTATGAAGTTGCTGCACCGAGATGGATGTTAAATCATTAGAATTCCACGAAGTGGGAAGAATCTGAGAGGGCCCCTGTGATGTTATATTACCAGGACATCTGTGCGTCGAACTGGAGGTGGAGACGGGAAACCTGAACGATGTATTGTAGACAATGGTAGTCGCCAAACGATGAGGCTTGTCTCTGCCGATGAGGAGAGGAAAATCCCCGCCGAGGAGAGGGATATTAATCCTCTGAAGATGGTAATCCGGGTAGGCAGTATTGTAGGAGTAGGACTTCTAGAAACGAAAACTACCCAGTTAAAGATGCAAAATGAACAAAAAATTAAAAAATTATATGAATCCCCTTGTTACATAAACACGTCACCACAAGATGGCGATTAGAAACAGAATGATTCTCTGGGGTAGCCATGTGTTCAGCGCGTGTGGGTCAACGGCAAAAAAAGCATGCATGACGCAAATTACTGAGAGGTGACCGTGGTGATCCTGGGTGTGTTCGGGTGAACAGTTTTTAAAGAAGCTGGAAACCTTTGTTTCCACCTAGGATCGAAAGAAGAAAGAGAAATGCATAGTGTAAGATGACGTCATTAATCTTCAGCTATGACACCGTTTCTAGTGTGACGTCTTTCAAAATGTGGCTATTCTAACCCGATGGGAAATTAAGCAGTATATTTCCTTTTTCAAGGAAATATCTTTCGTGCTTCAGCTAAAATTGTTTACTGACGATACGAACTATTTTCACAACCCCGACCCCCAGTTCTCACCTAAAAGGCAACAACCGCCGAATGATGGCTGAAGACTCAAGTTGTTTTTTTAGTTTTTCCATATATCTGACAGAGGTCTGTATTAGACAATCCAGTGATTGACATCATGATCATCTAACAATTCCTTTGATAGACAATGTCATCCAATCAACCAAGTCTGACCACCCGGGCCGTTTTAATCAGTCACCTTTTACGACAGGCATGGGTTGTTGGGGACCTATATTCTTACCCGGATTCCGACGATTGTGACGACACACGACAGTTAACATCTTTTATATATTTTTCAGTGACAGGGTTCTCGACGGTGGGGTCAATCTTAGTGACGTCAGCGGCAGCTGTTCTCTACACTTCTATTGTGAGTTATTCTTTGGCCACGGTCACTAATCATGAAGTGTAATTTCATAGGTTGAATTTTGGGAGCTGTGAGTGTTTTGAAACAGAAAGTATTTGTTTCCGAAAATGCGTTTTTGTTTGGCATCTTCTTTTGGAGGTAGCCATTGTATGTCATGGAGCTCTGACTGAAAAACAACTTGGTTTGACTGACAATCATAGTTTATTAGTTGATAAATATATTTTGATTAAGTTGATGAAATGTTACTTCGAAATATAGTATTTTCATTTGTTAAAAGGTTTTAAATCTAACACTCAATTTTCAAGCAATGTCACATCAGCCTTTAAACAATAAAGTCAGGCCTGGGCATTCATGAACTGGATATCTTGAGCAACGATCCTTTCCATCGGGTCACACTTTGGTTGTATCTTTTTCTCGTATATTTTCTTATTCTAAAAGATAATTGCAGTGACATGGCATAAGTGGAGTTTCTTAGAATCATATATTCGCTAGTTTCATATATCCCGAAATGAAAGTATCTTTTGCAAACATCTAAATATGACATTGATATCATTTCAATAAATGTACAAGATGCCTGCAATATCTGCTGAAACGTTTTAATAATTTCTGATGTGATAGACGTCAGGTCCAGTATAAAAACCGAATTTCACATTTCACCTACATGGTTATCTATAATAATATAATTATTACGTTCCCAGGGTGGCTTGAAAGCGGTGATATGGACAGATGTTCTCCAGTACATCCTAATGCTTACTGGGATACTAGCAGTCATAATAAAGGTGAGAAATATTGCTTCACATATAAGAAGAACTTTCACAAATAGCATATTGTAACATCAAGTATTTCTTAAATCTTATAACGGATAACGTCACATGACGTCACGAAATACGGACGTAGTCGTCACCGAAGTTTTTTTGTTAGGAAAATGACAAATAAGTCCCTAAAATACCAAACATTCGACTGTGGTGTTGTTTAGGGTGGTAGGATAGCTTCGTGTTCACTGCATGGGCACGTGACACCTAAGGTCCACCCACCCATTAGCCCCCACTTATGATATTGCTTTACTGGAATATTTGGACCATGAAGATCTGGGTTAAAATAGGTCTTCAGCAACCCATGCTTGCCGTAAAAAGGCGACTATGCTTGTCATGAGAGGCGACTAACGGTATTGGGTGGTCAGGCTCGCTGACTTGGTTGATGCATGTCATCGTATTCCAATTGTGTGGATCGATGCTCATGATGTCAATCACTAAGATTGTCTGGTCCAGACTCGATTATTTACAGACTGCCGTCATATAGCTGGAATATTGCTGAGTGCAGCGTTAAACAGCAAACAAACAAACTGGAATATGTCCTTATTGATTTGAATTGTATTCCGGATGTTACAGATTGATTTGAATTGTATTCGGGATGATACAGATTGATTTGAATTGTATTCGGGATGATACAGATACAGATTGATTTGAATTATATTCAGGATGATACAGATACAGATTGATTTGAATTGTATTCAGGATGATACAGATACAGATTGATTTGAATTGTATTCAGGATGATACAGATACAGATTGATTTGAATTGTATTCAGGATGATACAGATTGATTTGAATTGTACTCAGGATGATACAGATTGATTTGAATTGTATTCAGGATGATACAGATACAGATTGATTTGAATTGTATTCAGGATGATAAAGATACAGATTGATTTGAATTGTATTCGGGATGATACAGATACAGATTGATTTGAATTGTATTCAGGATGATAAAGATACAGATTGATTTGAATTGTATTCAGGATGATACAGATACAGATTGATTTGAATTGTATTCAGGATGATACAGATACAGATTGATTTGAATTGTATTCAGGGTGATACAGATACAGATTGATTTAAATTGTATTCAGGATGATACAGATATTGATTGATTTGAATTGTAATAGGCTGATACAGATATAGATTGATTTGAATTGTATTCAGGATGATACAGATACAGATTGATTTGAATTGTATTCAGGATGATAAAGATATAGATTGATTTGAATTGTATTCAGGGTGATACAGATATACACTGATTTGAATTGTATTCAGGATGATACTGATACAGATTGATTTGAATTATATTCAGGATGATACAGATATAGATTGATTTGAATTGTATTCAGGGTGATACAGATATAGATTGATTTGAATTGTATTCAGGATGATACAGATACAGATTGATTTGAATTGTATTCAGGATGATACAGATACAGATTGATTTGAATTGTATTCAGGGTGATACAGATATAGATTGATTTGAATTGTATTCAGGATGATACAGATACAGATTGATTTGAATTGTCTTCAGGATGATACAGATACAGATTGATTTGAATTGTATTCAGGATGATACAGATACAGATTGATTTGAATTGTATTCAGGATGATACAGATTGATTTGAATTGTATTCGGGATGATACAGATTGATTTGAATTGTATTCGGGATGATACAGATACAGATTGATTTGAATTATATTCAGGATGATAAAGATACAGATTGATTTGAATTGTATTCAGGATGATACAGATACAGATTGATTTGAATTGTATTCAGGATGATACAGATACAGATTGATTTGAATTGTATTCAGGATGATACAGATATAGATTGATTTGAATTGTATTCAGGGTGATACAGATATAGATTGATTTGAATTGTATTCAGGATGATACAGATACAGATTGATTTGAATTGTATTCAGGATGATACAGATACAGATTGATTTGAATTGAATTCAGGATGATAGAGATACAGATTGATTTGAATTGTATTCAGGATGATAGAGATTGATTTGAATTGTATTCGGGATGATACAGATTGATTTGAATTGTATTCGGGATGATACAGATACAGATTGATTTGAATTGTATTCAGGATGATAAAGATACAGATTGATTTGAATTGTATTCAGGATGATACAGATACAGATTGATTTGAATTGTATTCAGGGTGATACAAATATAGATTGATTTGAATTATATTAAGGGTGATACAGATACAGATTGATTTGAATTGTATTCAGGATGATACAGATTGATTTGAATTGTACTCAGGATGATACAGATTGATTTGAATTGTATTCAGGATGATACAGATACAGATTGATTTGAATTGTATTCAGGATGATAAAGATACAGATTGATTTGAATTGTATTCGGGATGATACAGATACAGATTGATTTGAATTGTATTCAGGATGATAAAGATACAGATTGATTTGAATTGTATTCAGGATGATACAGATACAGATTGATTTGAATTGTATTCAGGATGATACAGATACAGATTGATTTGAATTGTATTCAGGGTGATACAGATACAGATTGATTTAAATTGTATTCAGGATGATACAGATACAGATTGATTTGAATTGTATTCAGGATGATACAGATACAGATTGATTTGAATTGTATTCAGGGTGATACAGATACAGATTGATTTAAATTGTATTCAGGATGATACAGATATTGATTGATTTGAATTGTAATAGGCTGATACAGATATAGATTGATTTGAATTGTATTCAGGATGATACAGATACAGATTGATTTGAATTATATTCAGGATGATTAAGATACAGATTGATTTGAATTGTATTCAGGATGATACAGATACAGATTGATTTGAATTGTATTCAGGATGATACAGATATAGATTGATTTGAATTGTATTCAGGATGATACAGATACAGATTGATTTGAATTGTATTCAGGATGATACAGATATAGATTGATTTGAATTATATTCAGGATGATAAAGATACAGATTGATTTGAATTGTATTCAGGATGATACAGATTGATTTGAATTGTATTCAGGATGATACAGATACAGATTGATTTGAATTGTATTCAGGATGATACAGATACAGATTGATTTGAATTGTATTCAGGATGATACAGATTGATTTGAATTGTATTCAGGATGATACAGATTGATTTGAATTGTATTCGGGATGATACAGATACAGATTGATTTGAATTATATTCAGGATGATAAAGATACAGATTGATTTGAATTGTATTCAGGATGATACAGATACAGATTGATTTGAATTGTCTTCAGGATGATACAGATACAGATTGATTTGAATTGTATTCAGGATGATACAGATATAGATTGATTTGAATTGTATTCAGGGTGATACAGATATAGATTGATTTGAATTGTATTCAGGATGATACAGATACAGATTGATTTGAATTGTATTCAGGATGATACAGATACAGATTGATTTGAATTGAATTCAGGATGATAGAGATACAGATTGATTTGAATTGTATTCAGGATGATAGAGATTGATTTGAATTGTATTCGGGATGATACAGATTGATTTGAATTGTATTCAGGATGATACAGATACAGATTGATTTGAATTGTATTCAGGATGATAAAGATACAGATTGATTTGAATTGTATTCAGGATGATACAGATACAGATTGATTTGAATTGTATTTCGGATGATTAAGATATAGATTGATTTGAATTGTATTCAGGATGATACAGATACAGATTGATTTGAATTGTATTCAGGGTGATACAAATATAGATTGATTTGAATTATATTAAGGGTGATACAGATACAGATTGATTTGAATTGTATTCAGGATGATACAGATTGATTTGAATTGTACTCAGGATGATACAGATTGATTTGAATTGTATTCAGGATGATACAGATACAGATTGATTTGAATTGTATTCAGGATGATACAGATATAGATTGATTTGAATTGTATTCAGGATGATAAAGATACAGATTGATTTGAATTGTATTCAGGATGATACAGATACAGATTGATTTGAATTGTATTCAGGATGATACAGATACAGATTGATTTGAATTGTATTCAGGATGATTAAGATACAGATTGATTTGAATTGTATTCAGGATGATTAAGATACAGATTGATTTGAATTGTATTCAGGATGATTAAGATACAGATTTATTTGAATTATATTCAGGATGATACAGATACAGATTGATTTGAATTGTATTCAGGATGATTAAGATACAGATTGATTTGAATTATATTCAGGATGATACAGATACAGATTGATTTGAATTATATTCAGGATGATTAAGATACAGATTGATTTGAATTGTATTCAGGATGATACAGATACAGATTGATTTGAATTGTATTCAGGATGATACAGATATAGATTGATTTGAATTGTATTCAGGATGATACAGATACAGATTGATTTGAATTGTATTCAGGATGATACAGATATAGATTGATTTGAATTATATTCAGGATGATAAAGATACAGATTGATTTGAATTGTATTCAGGATGATACAGATTGATTTGAATTGTATTCAGGATGATACAGATACAGATTGATTTGAATTGTATTCAGGATGATACAGATACAGATTGATTTGAATTGTATTCAGGATGATAGAGATTGATTTGAATTGTATTCAGGATGATACAGATTGATTTGAATTGTATTCGGGATGATACAGATACAGATTGATTTGAATTATATTCAGGATGATAAAGATACAGATTGATTTGAATTGTATTCAGGATGATACAGATACAGATTGATTTGAATTGTCTTCAGGATGATACAGATACAGATTGATTTGAATTGTATTCAGGATGATACAGATATAGATTGATTTGAATTGTATTCAGGGTGATACAGATATAGATTGATTTGAATTGTATTCAGGATGATACAGATACAGATTGATTTGAATTGTATTCAGGATGATACAGATACAGATTGATTTGAATTGAATTCAGGATGATAGAGATACAGATTGATTTGAATTGTATTCAGGATGATAGAGATTGATTTGAATTGTATTCGGGATGATACAGATTGATTTGAATTGTATTCGGGATGATACAGATACAGATTGATTTGAATTGTATTCAGGATGATACAGATACAGATTGATTTGAATTGTATTCAGGATGATACAGATACAGATTGATTTGAATTGTATTCAGGGTGATACAAATATAGATTGATTTGAATTATATTAAGGGTGATACAGATACAGATTGATTTGAATTGTATTCGGGATGATACAGATTGATTTGAATTGTACTCAGGATGATACAGATTGATTTGAATTGTATTCAGGATGATACAGATACAGATTGATTTGAATTGTATTCAGGATGATAAAGATACAGATTGATTTGAATTGTATTCGGGATGATACAGATACAGATTGATTTGAATTGTATTCAGGATGATAAAGATACAGATTGATTTGAATTGTATTCAGGATGATACAGATACAGATTGATTTGAATTGTATTCAGGATGATACAGATACAGATTGATTTGAATTGTATTCAGGCTGATACAGATACAGATTGATTTAAATTGTATTCAGGATGATACAGATACAGATTGATTTGAATTGTATTCAGGATGATACAGATACAGATTGATTTGAATTGTATTCAGGGTGATACAGATACAGATTGATTTAAATTGTATTCAGGATGATACAGATATTGATTGATTTGAATTGTAATAGGCTGATACAGATATAGATTGATTTGAATTGTATTCAGGATGATACAGATATTGATTGATTTGAATTGTATTCAGGATGATAAAGATATAGATTGATTTGAATTGTATTCAGGGTGATACAGATATACACTGATTTGAATTGTATTCAGGATGATACTGATACAGATTGATTTGAATTATATTCAGGATGATACAGATATAGATTGATTTGAATTGTATTCAGGGTGATACAGATATAAATTGATTTGAATTGTATTCAGGATGATACAGATACAGATTGATTTGAATTGTATTCAGGATGATACAGATACAGATTGATTTGAATTGTATTCAGGATGATACAGTTACAGATTGATTTGAATTGTATTCAGGATGATACAGATACAGATTGATTTGAATTGTATTCAGGATGATACAGATACAGACTGATTTGAATTGTATCCAGGATGATAAAAGATACAGATTGATTTGAATTGTATTCAGGATGATACAGATACAGATTGATTTGAATTGTATTCAGGATGATACAGATACAGATTGATTTGAATTGTATTTAGGATCATACAGATACAGATTGATTTGAATTATATTCAGGATGATACAGATACAGATTGATTTGAATTGTATTCAGGATGATACAGATTGATTTGAATTGTATTCAGGATGATAAAGATACAGATTGATTTGAATTGTATTCAGGATGATACAGATACAGATTGATTTGAATTATATTCAGGATGATACAGATATAGATTGATTTGAATTGTATTCAGGATGATAAAGATACAGATTGATTTGAATTGTATTCAGGATGATAAAGATACAGATTGATTTGAATTGTATTCAGGATGATAAAGATACAGATTGATTTGAATTGTATTCAGGATGATAAAGATACAGATTGATTTGAATTGTATTCAGGATGATACAGATACAGATTGATTTGAATTATATTCAGGATGATACAGATATAGATTGATTTGAATTGTATTCAGGATGATAAAGATACAGATTGATTTGAATTGTATTCAGGATGATACAGATACAGATTGATTTGAATTGTATTCAGGATGATACAGATACAGATTGATTTGAATTGTATTCAGGATGATACAGATACAGATTGATTTGAATTGTATTCAGGATGATACAGATACAGATTGATTTGAATTGTATTCAGGATGATTAAGATACAGATTTATTTGAATTATATTCAGGATGATACAGATACAGATTGATTTGAATTGTATTCAGGATGATTAAGATACAGATTGATTTGAATTATATTCAGGATGATACAGATACAGATTGATTTGAATTATATTCAGGATGATTAAGATACAGATTGATTTGAATTGTATTCAGGATGATACAGATACAGATTGATTTGAATTGTATTCAGGATGATACAGATATAGATTGATTTGAATTGTATTCAGGATGATACAGATACAGATTGATTTGAATTGTATTCAGGATGATACAGATATAGATTGATTTGAATTATATTCAGGATGATAAAGATACAGATTGATTTGAATTGTATTCAGGATGATACAGATTGATTTGAATTGTATTCAGGATGATACAGATACAGATTGATTTGAATTATATTCAGGATGATACAGATTGATTTGAATTGTATTCAGGATGATACAGATACAGATTGATTTGAATTGTATTCAGGATGATTAAGATACAGATTTATTTGAATTATATTCAGGATGATACAGATACAGATTGATTTGAATTGTATTCAGGATGATTAAGATACAGATTGATTTGAATTATATTCAGGATGATACAGATACAGATTGATTTGAATTATATTCAGGATGATTAAGATACAGATTGATTTGAATTGTATTCAGGATGATACAGATACAGATTGATTTGAATTGTATTCAGGATGATACAGATATAGATTGATTTGAATTGTATTCAGGATGATACAGATACAGATTGATTTGAATTGTATTCAGGATGATACAGATAAAGATTGATTTGAATTATATTCAGGATGATAAAGATACAGATTGATTTGAATTGTATTCAGGATGATACAGATTGATTTGAATTGTATTCAGGATGATACAGATACAGATTGATTTGAATTATATTCAGGATGATACAGATTGATTTGAATTGTATTCAGGATGATACAGATACAGATTGATTTGAATTGTATTCAGGATGATACAGATTGATTTGAATTGTATTCAGGATGATACAGATACAGATTGATTTGAATTGTATTCAGGATGATACAGATTGATTTGAATTGTATTCAGGATGATACAGATACAGATTGATTTGAATTATATTCAGGATGATAAAGATACAGATTGATTTGAATTATATTCAGGATGATACAGATACAGATTGATTTGAATTGTATTCAGGATGATTAAGATACAGATTGATTTGAATTGTATTCAGGATGATACAGATACAGATTGATTTGAATTGTATTCAGGATGATTAAGATACAGATTGATTTGAATTGTATTCAGGATGATACAGATACAGATTGATTTGAATTGTATTCAGGATGATACAGATACAGATTGATTTGAATTATATTCAGGATGATAAAGATACAGATTGATTTGAATTGTATTCAGGATGATAAAGATACAGATTGATTTGAATTGTATTCAGGATGATACAGATACAGATTGATTTGAATTGTATTCAGGATTATACAGATACAGATTGATTTGAATTATATTCAGGATGATACAGATACAGATTGATTTGAATTGTATTCAGGATGATACAGATACAGATTGATTTGAATTATATTCAGGATGATAAAGATACAGATTGATTTGAATTATATTCAGGATGATACAGATACAGATTGATTTGAATTGTATTCAGGATGATTAAGATACAGATTGATTTGAATTGTATTCAGGATGATACAGATACAGATTGATTTGAATTGTATTCAGGATGATTAAGATACAGATTGATTTGAATTGTATTCAGGATGATACAGATACAGATTGATTTGAATTGTATTCAGGATGATACAGATACAGATTGATTTGAATTGTATTCAGGATGATGAAGATACAGATTGATTTGAATTGTATTCAGGATGATACAGATACAGATTGATTTGAATTGTATTCAGGATGATACAGATACAGATTGATTTGAATTGTATTCAGGATGATACAGATACAGATTGATTTGAATTGTATTCAGGATGATACAGATACAGATTGATTTGAATTGTATTCAGGATGATACAGATACAGATTGATTTGAATTGTATTCAGGATGATACAGATACAGATTGATTTGAATTGTATTCAGGATGATAAAGATACAGATTGATTTGAATTGTATTCAGGATGATACAGATACAGATTGATTTGAATTGTATTCAGGATGATAAAGATACAGATTGATTTGAATTGTATTCAAATCTTAAATGAAATGAAACAGGGCACCATTGACGTAGGAGGAGTGCAGGAGATATGGAGCAGGATAAAGTCTGGAGGAAGACTTACTTTAAAGTGAGTACTGGTTTTGTCATAAGCGAAAAAGGGTTATTGGAGTGTTGCCGGGTTGTTGTTAGAGGGAGATAAGCCTTCTATTAGAGCAACCGCTGTAAATTTATTCAGTTTCAGCAAGTCATTGAAGTGCTAGTAAAATGGCGACTGTTGGCGGCGAGTGGAATTAAGAGTTACCTCCCCCTCGCTTATTCTGAACATGACAGGCTTGATCGTTCGAGAGGTTTCGGGATGATACGGTTTCTTTAAGTCTGCCTGTACTTTAGTAAGAACGTTGATTTGAGACCTTTTCCGACATAGTTGTCGTTTTATCTCGTAGCCAAGTGTTGATTCGATACCTTTCTAAACAGGCCGTGTTCCTGCCAGCTTCGAACACTATCCAACATTCAAGAACGAAGACAGACCAGTTTAAAGATGTTCGAAAGTCTGAATATTCGTGGGTGTACTTTCATTGTTTCTAGAGCCTGTTATTTATTATTGCTGACACATTTTTGATATTTTTTTTATTGTAAACCTAAAGTGGTGAGTTTGAACATGACTTTATGATTTATCATTGATCTTGTGTGGTCATCTACTGATTTTACAATTGTGTTCTGTACGTACTGATTTATGGGTTACGAGGACAGGGCTGGATGTTAGGGTGGATCGGCAGCAGGGTTATGGACAGATAGAGATTACCCTTTATAGTACCGCAGTGGTTGGAGGATAATAAATTATCATATATTCATAAGAGTATACGAGTCTGACCATATCATGAACGTGTATTTATGAATCACTATCAAATAGTGATGACGCCAGGTTTTCGCTATCTCGATCATAAACGAAGGGTGAGTGCATCCTGCCCCATCGGTGGCACCCATCACAAACACATGGTCAAGGCAAGTTAATTGTTAACCTATAAAAGGACGTGAACATGTAAGGAAGGTCTGCAGGAGGTATAGAATTTTAACGGTTTGAGTCATGTCACCATGTAACTAATCTTAACAATTATATATTGGTCCATTTGTCTGGCTACTTTACTTAGCATTTTCACGGATTTTGTCGCCGTATTCTTCTTCTTCTTCTTCTTCTTCTTCTTCTTCTTCTTCTTCTTATTATTATTATTATTATCAGTAGTAGTAGTAGTATTTACAGATTAAAATAGAAAATGCAGCAAAGAGGGTTTTGGGTGACCCTGGCACAGTCAGGCTGGTCAGGCTCATCATCAGCTCAGGACCCTTGCCCCCTCCACCCGCAGCCCAGATAGCGAATTGGACTTCTCCCAGGAAGCGCTGCCTAGTCAAACCCACCCAACTTTTCGGAGAATGTGAAGAGTCCCCAACGCTGCAGCCTTCTGCATTACCCAGATCGTTGGAAGGGCTGTATTCCTGGTTTCAAACCCGGGTACTCTCCCAATGTCAGTAAACACAAAGAACAGTGGGACAATACTGAGAAATACTGAGTTAGCCAACATATCGGATGGGATTGTGATCAATAGCTATAGCACTTACGGGTGAACGATGCGCCATCTGTTCATGGCCATCATGAAATGCCCACACATTTTGCTTCTGTTTTCAGATATGACTTTGACCCGACAATCCGTCATACTGTGTGGACCGTGGGCTTTGCCAGAATATTTAATACACTTGGTATTCTTTTCCGACCTGCCTATCTACAGCGTATTGCCGCCACGAAATCCCTCACTGACGCAAGAAGGTATGAACACATCATTAAATTTTTCAATTTCTTTTGCTTGCATAGTTGTATTGTAATTGAACACACACACATGAACACACACACACACACACACACACACACACACACACACACACACACACACACACACACACACACACACACACACACACACACACACACACACACACATGCATCAAGTTATATTAGGCATGTTTATTACTTTGAGAGCTTCGTGTTATGAGGTGGCTGATTTTTACCTACCTTCTTTCACTTTGATGAACGTGACATAACAACTCGATGTCTCTGTTAAAGAGCGATGATATTTGGCGTGCTCTGCAGTCCTGTATTTGGAATCCTTTGCGTCATTGGTGGTCTTGTGGCATATGGTTATTATGACTACAAGAGATGCGACCCTGTGGTATCAAATCAGATCTACAAAAGTGATCAGGTAAAAGGTTAAGTACCCTTAGGGGTTAACATGAAAGTACAATTACAACCGCGTTTGATTCATGATCATTCATACATGCACTGTAAATACTAAAAACCTGTTTATAAATGTTGAATAAAGAAGAACAGATTTTAAAATGCGTCCGTGTAGTTCATCTCGCAACTATTAAAGATCTAAGTTACTGTTTAGACTAGACAATTGTTGCCAATGTTTATACGGGCAATATTATTTACGTAATTTCCACTGAAACTGTAATAATATATCTGAAACTGCTGTAAGTGCTGAGTAAAACACATTTCACTAACCTCTTGCTCCTCCTTTCACTCTGTTTTCCCCAGGTATTACCCTTCATGACAATCGCCATTTTCCGAAACGTGCCAGGAATGCCAGGGCTGTTTCTTGCAGCACTCTACAGTGCGTCTCTCAGGTCAGTTTGGTTATATACTTTGTGGGATCATATGAAGTCGTATTCACAAATGGATAATCTAAATCGAATTTATTTTACCACCATGCTTATCATTTTTCACAATTTGAAAACAAATGGACATTGAGAAGCCAAAATGTACGACTATATTGTCTCCAGTTGAGTCCATTGTACGATTCCTACTACATCATACAGAAGCCTATGATTGTGGGTTCGAATCCCAATTATGTTTCTAGGTTTGTCAGCACCATACCCGTGCTCGTGGGTTTCACTGAAGTGGTAAAAGTCTGAGACCTGCATCACTTCGGGCTTTCCTCCCACATTAAGCTGACACGCCGCGATATAACTGGAATACTGTTAAAAGCGGCGTTAAACCCAACTCACTCACTCACTCACTCACTATTACATCATTGGTATGTGTTGATGACAGAGTGATGGTACCAGTTATTCGCAGAAAGGTGAGCTTATCCTGTAACCTGTAAATAAGTAACCACATCCATGTAACCTGTATCTGTCTATCAGCGATATCTATGGCTGTCGGAATGTGCAAACGTTAACTGTACAACCAAATACACGTTAACTTGACCTGGAATTAATTAAGTTAAATAGTGTTATTTGTTTCAGCTCATTATCATCAGGACTATCCGCCCTCGCGCACATAACATGGGAGGACTTCGTAAAACCCCGTGTTTCTACAATGTCGGAGTTTAAACAAATGGCTGTTGCCAAAGTATCAGGTATAACAGAGTAAAACGAGTGAATGTTTCTGAATTATATTTTGCATTGAAATACACACTGTCAGTGATGAAAGTTATGTTCTATTGATTAAGATACATGTACGGGTTCTTGGATGGCAATTACCAGACATGTTTTGCCTTGAACAGTTTGTTTATAACAATGAAAGCGACAGATCCCTTTCCAAATCACAACAAAATAGTGACAAAATAATGACCGTAATAGTCCTTTGTACGATTCCGACGATGTTTACGAAAAAAACTGTGTTTGATACAAAATTCAGTGAGAATAGATATATTCTGAAATTCATTAACGTATCTTTCGACACATTCGCATGAAGATATCTACTCGATTCCAAGGTCGTGATACACAATTTGCGCGTTCATACATGTATTCATGCACGGCGTACAATTTGGATATTTGTGTGTTTGTTGGAAACATGATACTCACACACGAGTTGTTTAAATGTTAACAGCACACAATGATTCATAGCTATAGGTGCTCACAAAAACAGTTTTGTTTAACGGTAAATAAGATTTACGCAATGCCACAGCTTGCTGAAAATCAATGTCATAGGCGGCGAAGTTATGCGTCAAAATAGAATGGCGCAAAACGAAGTTGCCAGACATTTTAATGTTCATCGAAACACAATATCATCACTTTGGAGACGTTACCTCCAGCAGGGCAACACTCATGACTTGCCGAGGTCCCGTCTCCCATAGATGGCACCACGTCAACAAGACAACCATATTCGGTTTGTACATCCACGGAATCAATACAATTCTACTCCGACAATTGCGGGGTTGAGACCAATTAGTGTCAGAACCGCACACAACCGGTTGAGGGATCACAGCATCCGGTCCTGGCGACCAGCGATACGCACAATGTTGTTTCCAATTCACTGACAGGCACACTTGGCTTGTTGTAGACAGCATCGGGGGTACAGAACACAAGACTGGGACAGTATACTGTTCACAGACGAGTCTATGTTTGATCTGGACAGATCTCGTGGTTGTGCAAGCATCTATCGGCGTCCAGGATAACGTTTCAGCGTCGTTTGCGTTACTCAACGTCGCCAGTTTGGGGTCGCAAGTGAAATGGTACGGGGTGCCTCACCGCTCAGCGTCGGTGATGGCAACTTGAATGACATACGCATCCTGAACGACATCGTTAGTTATCAGAGTCTAACCTCTGTGAGAATGAAAGGACGTGACGTCAAGTTGCGTGTATTGTAACAGACTTTTTGAGGCCGCGTTGTTTGTTTGTTGTGTAACACAGCACTCAGCAATATTCCAGCAATATGACGGTCTGTAAATAATCGAATTGGACCACCAGACTATCTTGTGATTAATATCATGAGCATCAATCCACGCAACTGGGATCGATGACGTGCATCAACTAAGTCAGGGAGCCTGACCACCTTATCCCGTAAGTCGCCTCTTACGACAAGCATATTGGCCTTTTACGGCAAGTATGGGATGCTGAAGATCTATTCTACCCCGGATCTTCACGGGTCTGAGGCAGCATTGCTGTACTGAAATAACTATTGGATGTGGGAAGGGTTTGTCGCTTTATTTATACCACCCCTGTTTTAGCGCGTGTCGCTCTGTCTCATGTAACCTAGTATGGGTTTTGTTAATGCATTTGTTAAGATGAAGCATTGATAAGACGAATGACCAAATATATTTATATTATATATTGTTCATACCACTTTCTATGAAGCACAATTACTTTTCCATTAGAACATAAGCATGAATTTATGAATCAGTGTCATAAACGAGAAGTGAGTTTTTCGTGCTTCTTAAGTAAAAAGAAGTCAACCGTTCACGTCAAAACACACGTTCCACACGTTTAGGAAACTTGGGATACTGACGTTCCCAACCTCCATTGACCCACAACTGGCCATTTTGTCTTTTCATTTGAGAAACTGTCTCGAAGGCATTTTAAGCTTGTGCTTAGCTCAACTGCATTTTTCGGCGCACATACTTTGGCTTGTTTGCACGTGCACCACGTGCTGTTCATGCATGATGTGAGATTTATTTCTGATTTGATGTTACGTTCAGATGCAACGTCACGGTATTGTAAATGTAAACTTTAACGGGAACTACAGTTAAATGATTAGTTCCCTTTTGTTTTCATTTGTTGGTGGTATGTTTTGATATACTTTTTTGCATTAAGAAATGTTGTGTATTTGTGCTTGAATGTTGTCCACAAAGATGGAAAACAGACACCATACCAAAATGTTATGTTCGTTCCTTTTTCTGGTTTTCTTTTCAGTGGTGGCGTGGGGTGTTGTGATTTTTGGCGTGGCGATATGTGTGTCATCCTTGAAATCCATCCCCCTACTTCAGGTGACAACAGGATAAAGCGAAATATTTGTCTCTGAACGTATTGAAGTAATATCGTTAAATAGTGTATTGATAATTAGTCCGTCACTTGTTTCATCTTCCTACTCTAGATGAAAAGGTTTCAGGGCCATTATCTGTCTGAGCGTGTTGAGTTACATTTGATTTAATCATTTACATATTTACATTTTTTATTTTTACTTTGAATAAAGTCAAGAAGGAACTTTGTTTCAGATCTATTACAGCGCCAACTCAATCACGGCTGGGCCAATGTTCGGCCTATTCTACCTCGGTGCCATGTTCCCGTTTGTCAATACAAGAGTATGTATGCATTGCTGATTCACCGGAACTGGAATTATCAGTATAGTTATATTTTGCAGCGCCACTGTTGAGAAATACCGATTTGTTGCCTCTTACGACAAGCATAGTTGCCTCTGGCGGGAAGCATGGGTTGCTGAAGACAAATTCTAACCCGGTTCTTAAGAGGTGTTATCTTCGCAGATGACACGATATATTTGCATGTACATTTGCAAATCCTACCACATCTAATGTTGATGCCTTGTTACTCACAGGTCATTCTCACCATGGTGTATCATTCATTACAGACTACTGTTTCACTTTTACTCTACAATCCTGGGAATTGGCAATGTTGGATATTGAGGAGTTGTCTTGATTAAGGTCAAGGTCTGGACACAATGCTCTTTGTTGTCCTCTACTGTTGGGTGGTCTGGTATTCCGATAACTCTTGTATGAACAGCCGCGAGTAGTTGGTTGGTTTGGTTGGTTGGTTGGTTTGTTGTTTAACGCCACACTCAGCAATATTCCAGCTATATGACGACGGTCTGTAAATAATCGAGTCTGGACCAGACATTCCAGTGATTGATATCATGAGCATCGATCCACCCATTTTGGATCGATGACAAGCATCAACCAAGTCAGCGAGCCTGACCACCCGATCCGTTTGTCGCCTTTTAGGACTTGCATAGTCACCTTTTACGGCAAGAATCTTCACGGGTCCAGCCGCGAGTAGAATACGTCTCCTTGCTGGGCTATTAGCAGAGAGGGAAAAAAACTGTCGTATCCACTTTAAGCAGTGCTCCATTTGACTGGGCGGTACTACATTTTGTATTAGCTGCTGTAAACCGGTGGTTTCTGGTATTAGCATTCTGGGTAATACACACTTGGGAGAAACACGTGTGTTGCGGTGTATGTGGAGTGTTGAAACGCAACTAAAGACTGAACATAAGCATGCAGCATTACGCTGGAAGTACAACATTTTGGCGACGAGGATGGGATTCAAGATGTTGTGAAAGGCTGACAAGTAGTTGGAACTTGAGGTAACTCGCATTGAACTTTGACGCGGTTGAGAGTTGTTGTGATTCAGTATTCGCGCATGTATTCAAATAAGAACTTGCCGTCTTGCATTGTTATGCGGATAAATTGACTGATGAATCTAAATGATGTTTATAGCTCAAGTGAACTGTTTGCTAGTTGGTGCTCACAGAAAACTACAGTTGGTGTTTTACCGGAATTTGACCAGAACAACGTAAGTTGGGAAGAGTTGTGTGAGTTGTTAGAACATTACGTATATATGCTAACAACATGGACGATGAAGGAGTTAACACAAGTATTTTGTTGACCGCTTGTGGTCTTGTCACGTACCAGTTATTTCGTGCATTACTACAGCCAATATATTGTTACTTTGCTTCGGCATTGGAATCTGACACTGGTTCTGCTGCAGCATTAATCAACCCTACTCACCAACCTGGATGAAGTAAGTACACACTTGAAAGGTTACAGAGCTCACAAAGTAACAGTACAGTAACCATTATTCTCAGGTAGAGAATAACCCAATTCAAACACTTCAAGATTTGTGTTCAAAGTTGGCAGAAGGACAGAAATACACAAAGCTTGACAAGACTCATGCTTATCAACAAGTTGTTCTTGATTAAGAATCAAGGCAGTACGTTGTTATTAACACTCTCAAAGGCTTGTTCTGCTACACTCGTCTTCTATTTGGTGTTGCTTCAGCCACAACCATATTTCAACGGATAATAGAGAATGTTTCACAAGGACTTGATCGGTCTGCTGCCTATCAGGATGACAGGTTCTGATGATCAGCATCACTTGAGAGTTCTTGACAGTGTCCTCCAAAACATTTCTGAAGCCGGATTTAAATTCCGAAAAGAAAATTGTGTCTTCATCACAGACTCTTCTCAATAGCTTGGAAATAAGTTAGACAAATAAGGTCTCAGACCTATGGACAAGACACTGTCATCAATACAAGACGCTACTGTACTACAGACCTTCTTACCTGGGGTTACACAATTATTATCATCCATCATTGCCAAATACACTGTCTCCACTGTATGCCTTACTACAGAAGGGTATTCCTTGAACTTGGACTAAGACTCAGAAACAGGCTTTTGACTCATCTAAAGACTTGTTGCATTCTGCTAAATTTCTATATCACTTTGACCAAATAATGCTACTGTTGCTGCAGTGCGACACTTCACCACATGGACTTGATTTTGTTTTGGCGCACAAAATGCTCGATGGATCAGAAAGACCTATTAGCTACGCTTCCAGAACCTTGACTGCTTGATAGAAGCATTACTCTCAGCTTGACTGAGTGTTATTTGTGGATCATAAACCCTTGATTTCCCTCTTCAGTGTGAGAAAACTAAACCTGATATGGCATCACCCACAGTTCAGCGCTAATGCGTCATGCTATGCGCTTATGACTATTCGATTGTTCACAAGTCTTCAGCTACTCACACAAATGAGTCAACTGCCTGTAGCAGCAACAGAGTTTCACTTGTCTGATGAGAAACGTGACAGTGTTTACCTTCTGCATTTCTGCATTCGTGTTACAGCTGATGAGCTTCGCACGGAAACACGCAGGGTAGAGACTTGTCATGTCTATATGAGTATGTGTTAAAGGGTTGGTCCTTCATCAAGTATCATGGGGCATCATTGAACCAGTTAAGTTTTCAGAATGGGCCTGTCCCATTGTTACACGCTTGGGAGAAAAACGTTATTGTGTTGTATGTGGAGTTTTGAGGTGACAGCTAATGACTCAGCATCTAAAAAACCATCCCATCCTAATTACTCCGATATACGATTCGTCGCTGCGTGGCAATACCTTCATAGAAGGTTGCGTCAAGTGAACAGTGAGCTTTGACCACCCAAACATTTCATTTTCTACTGCCTCGATTAGGAAATTTCGATCTCAGCAAAAGACAACCTCCAGTGCAAAATCAGCCCTCCAAGTAAACCCTTTTGGGAGTTGATGTCATGACGATCAGAAACTATTTGAAGTGCTCGAATATATTCTTTTTGAGATACAAATATCAGATATGCTTGTCTGAAGGGTTTTCTCAACTGTACCGAGAATGTATAAGCATCGACGCTGATAAGATAATAAGAAAGTTGTCCTCAGATTCTGACACAGTGGTATCGTATTTGGGTAAAGGCTCATGAGATAATCTTCGAAAGAGATACGTGCGATGTACTGATTTAGCACCGTGCAACCAGTGTACATGGGTTTAACACATGAAAATGATAGTTCATATTTGTTTTGACCACCAAGGTGCATTTTTACCGAAAAGGTGGTATCCGAGGTCTGTAGCAGATGTGCAAACGTCGTATTAATGTTGTTTCTTTACCCTTTTGTGAAATTGAATGTAACAAATATGTAGGCATGGCAAAGTATGATATGTTCTGGTTCCACAGTGTAGAGATAAGCTGTTTGAATCGGTTAGCTTGTATTACTATATACAGCACCCATCCTCTCTCCCTAGAGCGCTATTGTTGCACTGCTGGTTGGGATCAGCTTCCTGACGTGGCTGGTGGTAGGTGCTAGACTTTCCCCAGGGGTGAGGAAGACGCCCCCTCTCCCGCCTGCCCCGACTGATTTCTGCCCGAGTGTCAACCTCTCTCTGCCATACACCATGACGACAACGAACTCAACCAGTGATGATCTACGCCAATATACTGGGTAACATTCGCGACGCTTTGCTTTGTTGAAGAACAACGTATATGATGTTTAATACCTTTCAAACTGTATACGTCAGCTGCTTATGACTTACATAAAAGAGAATCTTGAATTGTTGATATTCGATTTGAAAAGAGAAATTAGGTTTGTTATGGTAATAAGAAGGATGAAGTCAAATACATCTCCACCCTGCGAGGAAACACCTCATGAAATTCACCCCTAATCATGACTTATTCAATGTTTTCTTTCTGCCAGTCCTGTAACTAAATATGATTTCCTGCCAGGTCAGGTCTTGACGCCTTCTACAGTCTCTCCTACATGCTGTACCACGTGTTTGGATTCCTCATCGTGCAGGTGGTGGGCGTTGTTCTCAGTCTGGCCACAGGTAAATATAATCACATAATATAATATCCTCATCCTTTCAGGCTGAATATGATTCTTGTCCTATACTGATATGTTTCTTTTTATGTACGTTCGTAGAACATATTCAATTGAACACCCTACACATTAGAGGGACAAAATGAATCAAAACATTGCTATGAAACAAACTTTCGTCTGAATACTGCAGGTGGAAACAAGGATGGAGTTAACCCTCTCTACATCAGAAAATTCTTCTGCTGGAGGAGTGAACAGGAAGAAGAACATGTGATGGTCAGTACCATGAACCAGAACCCAAGGTTGCAGCTTATTGCAGAATTATAACTTTGTGAAATGGGTACCAACTACTCTAACTTAAATGTACAATTCACCTAATCTGATCATTCAGAGATGATAGCCAAGGAAACAACTGTAAAACCATATTCAGCATCTTATCTAGTCTGTTCAAAGAAATTCAAAATACCAAGCTGGATAACAAGATGGTTTCGATTTTCTAACCGTGAATTTCTTCGTCATGACGTCTTCATTTCTTAATTGTTTAGGCACCTTAAAGCATGTATCTTGTTATCAAATATCATTGAAAGACACATTTTGCTTATGACTAAATTTGTCAATCAAGGGCCTGGCTATGTCATTCCATATATAGTCTACGGAAGACCTCAATCAAACACAAAAAGTAACGGATTGGATACTTTACTCAGGCTCTGTTATGTGTCATCGTATCCAAGGCTTGGGACGTTCCAAGTTCGTTCAGTAACTGGTTTGTATGGGTCTTGTTCGATTAAGACTTTTGGTGGAATATTGCTCACTGCAGCAAAAACTAACAAATAAATGACTAGCATTAGACCGATGCATCCGGTCCCAATACCAGGGACTTTATGTTGGCTCGTAGCTCTGAATCTAAGCCCCAAAATATGCTTCTCTGTTTTTGTTGCAGACTTCAGGAAGGTTTGCTGACACATCAGATGCCCCAGTGGAAGGACCAAGTGGCTCAACAGATGGGCAACAAACTGAATCGTTCATCAAGAACAGAGTTTTATGAAATGTTTTTATTGGAATGAATATTCATGTTATTTACATGTTCTTTTGAAGAGGTAACACTTTCTTTTCCCGCACTACTTAACCAGAAACTTTCATAAACCAGACCTCTAAACAGCTGTAACTCCGCTTTCATTGTTTCGATTTCGACCAGACTTCGTGAAAGTATGTAGACTAGGCTTGTGGATAGCCATGCCTAATTGTAGCCACATCACTTCGACTAACTTCAACTACGGAGAGAGAAATCAAACATGATCCATGTATAACATTTTGTAAGCTATTGTTCCTCACCAGATCATCCAATTACATGGGTCATGTCGTTTGGCAGGCACTTAATGCATTAAAAGTTATCACTGTGCTTTGTACCTAATTCGGCACTCCCCTTAACCCATCTCTTGAAATGCGTCCAATTTTGTGTACATATGGTTTCATGCATCCTACACCAAACACAGATCTGACTAAAGATTTAACAATCCCTATTGGTAGCTATCAAATCTGATTTTACTTCTAATCGATTTTTTCAGAAATTTCGTTTAAATAATTCATATCTTCCTGGGGCCTGCGTCTGCTTAGAAAACATTGAAAGTAGGCATTACTTATCATTACTGATCGGTGCATATATTTTGTTCTTTGGCCCATGTCAAAAGTATCCGCTATTTAATTTATCTTCGTTAGGTTGCTATGGAACCCAAACTGAACTATATTCTGCACTATGTCCCTCATTCAGTCTTGCTTGACAACGGTATAAGGATCTATACCGAAACGTCGCTTTTTACAGTATTAAAGAAGTTGTTATCCATAAAATTGTGTCTATCTTGTCATCCGCCAACTTCTAAGTAATGCCTATCAAACAAGTTATAGAGGAGTTGATTGTAACGACATTGATAGACACACTCGATCGGATGATTCTTGTAGGGTTTCAGTACTGTAAACAAATCGGTACAGAAGAAAATGCAATAACAATTATTTGTTGGACGCCTCCACGAACGCCTGACGCACGTTTTAGCCAAGTTCACTTGCTCGTCAGATACCCTACGTCTCTAGGTCGACCATAGAGGCAAGGAAAGAACGTTAGGAACAGCCGCCCAGAGAGAGGTCTCCTGTAGAAACGGACTTTCGTGTCAATCGCGGCCCAAGATATCACATATCGATTAGTCGAGTGTCTTCAGGATTAGAATAATAGGAGGGGCATCATAGTTTTGTTGGTTGAAATTTGTAACTGCTTGGTCAAGTAGTTGTTTGTATATTAGGGGCGGTCGGGTAGCCTAGTGGTTAAAGCGTTCGCACGTCACCGAAGACCCGGGTTCGATTCCCGACATGGGTACAACGTGTAAAGCCCATTTCTGGTGTCACCCGCCGTGATATTGCTGGAATATGTCTAAAAGCGGCGTAAAATCAAACTCACTCACTCACTCAATGTATGTATATGATGCGTATCCTTCCGTCTCGTCACCTATTTTCGTGGTATTGCCATTGATCAAGGGTGTGTTTCCGCGATCTGTTCTAGTGTGAAACGCTGATTCTAGGTAAACTGGGGAAGCATTGGTTCGATATTGACCACATTTTACACATGTATGTTGACTATTCTAGTTACTAATGGCAGCCCCACAGCTCTCCAGACTACGGGGAATTCATATTAGTGAAACTAACGCATTCAAAGGTAGTTCATATGACTGTGTAATATTTAAATATAACCTGAAAGTTTTGAAATAAATGTAGTCATCTAGGCGGATCCATTTTATATATTCAAACCTATAACCCCAGGGAGGTAAATGTGTCTTCATATTTCTAGCAAAATGATACATAATTGAAAGTGGAAAGTTGAATGTTGTTATTGAATAGATTCTGAAGTAAGACTCATTGCAGAAAAAGATAGCCAGTGTACCTCCAAAAATAATATACAGATTATCTTACTGCATGTAGTGTGTGCATGTATGTGCATTTGTGAACCATGTCTAAAGTCAACCAAGTCTTTTAGGGAGCAATGTTAAAAATGTCACGGTATCAGTGATTGGCTCAAATTCATCACGGACCAACAGACCTTTTTAAATGTTGATGATTTCCTATATCGTCAAGAATTGCTGTTTTATGACAACAGGATTACAATACATGCTCAAGCAATCATTACATAATTCAAACAAATTAGCACTGTTCATGTTGTGAATTTGTTTTATTGCACTTCTAATATGTCTTACTTTATCAACATGCTACAAAAGTTTCTAGAACAGAATTTATGGATGTCATCTTTTTTATAACGAGGAACACAACGTTTCAGAGTATATGCTTACTCCTTCATCGGGTGAATGATTGCTATGAGGCAGAGAGCATATATATTTACATGTAAGAACAACAAAAGTAATAAGATAACAAAAGGTTGAAAATTTGGCGAAGGAAATGGTTTGCTTTCAAAACATCATGAACATCCATCAATATACCTCATACACTTTGAATATTCTCTAATTTCACATTTAGCAATAGCCCAGGTATATAAAGGTATGTAAATAAATAAATATAGGTGAGATATCCCCATTCATGAAATAACAATTGAACTGTCTTCAGGAAGACAATGTGCGAAGTAAAAAAACCCGAAAACATTGAACATGTCAAATATGAAAGATGAAAAAGTTAATTGCCAAAACAACACTATATGAACACATTTGTACACTTAACATACGATAAACTGATATACAGAAGATATACAAATCCCATCAGGGACTTATGAATATTGTTTAAATCATATATAAATAGTTCGAATCTAGCTAGAAATGTATCCATTCTTGCAACTTCCCTTGGGTATTTTGTAATGATTTCTTAAAGTGTTACCCCAGGTTTGAAGCTAGCTACAGTAAGTGGATCCATGTTACAATCAACTCTTGGATATTTTCTGGTGATTTCACAGATTTTTACCCAAGGTTTGAACCTAGCTAGAGGGTGTACATACATACTGCAATCAACCCTTTGATATTTTTTGATGATTTCACAAAATTGTTGCCCCAGGTTCGAACCCAGCTTGAAGGTGTACATACATACTAGAATCAACCCATGGGTATTTTGTGGTGATTTCATAGATTGTTGGGGCGGTCGGGTAGCCTAGTGGTTAAAGCGTTCGCTCGTCACACCGAAGACCCGGGTTCGATTCCCAACATGGGTACAATGTGTAAAGCCCATTTCTGGTGTCACCCGCCGTGATATTGCTGGAATATTGCTAAAAGCGGCGTAAAACCAAATTCACTCACCACTCATAGATTGTTACCCCAGGTTCGAACCCTGCTAGAGGGTGTACATATATATTAGAATCAACCCATGGGTATTTTGTGGTGATTTCGTAGATTGTTAGCCCAGGTTCGAACCCTGCAAGAGGGTGTACATACATATTAGAATCAGCCCTTGGGTATTTTGTGGTAATTTCATAGATTGTTAGCCCAGGTTGGAACCAAGGTAGAGGATATAGATCCATACGATGATGTACCCTTGGGTTTGTGGTGATTTCCAATATGCTTACCTCAGATTTGAACCCAGTTAGAGCAAGTTCATACATATTAGAATCAACCCTAGATATTTGGTGGGGATTTCCCAGATTGTTTCCCCAAGTTCGAACCTAGCAAGAGGGTGTCGATCCATACTGGAATCTACCTTTGGCTATTTTGTTGTGATCTTACAGATTATACCCTGAGGTTCGAAGGTCATGACAAGAATAAGATATCAAATGTATTGTGCCCTAAGAACTGAAGTTTGAAGGAAGTAAAATATCAATGCATTGAACATGTATCATGTAGCCATGACCATGATGACAGGTTAAAACTAGTGTTACCAAAACAACACTATGTGAACACATCTGTACGCTTAACATACAGTGATATACACAATACATATTAGATTTTTTGCAATGCTTTATATCACTTATATAATAATACGTTGCATGTTGTGCCCCAATTTGGAACCTTCCTAGAGGCTGTAGATCAATACTACAATCTACCCTTCCATATTTTGAGGTAATTTCCCACATCTTAAAAGGTCACGCCACTCTGCTACTCTCAAGCCAATAGTGACTGTTCAGTTGCTACGTTAACTTGCTGTATCAGAAAGATATTACTTCTGGTTGACAGAACATATATTTGATAACAGATGACAAGGTACTTGTAGTCCATATGTGACTCTTGATCTATCAAACTCTCACAGTCTAAGGGACTAGTCAAATGCGACCTCTTCAACTGTCATGTGTCTGTATTTGAGTTTTCAAATACATGGTTACCCATTATGTGTGGGTATTCCATATTTATTACTTCTTAACTGTTCATTACAGAAAAGTTGTCATCACAGGGTATTAAGTTCACAGTTCACTGAACTTGTTAAAGCAGAACCAATCTCAGTAAATTATGATTAATCAGATACCAATACAAGTGATGAAATCAGTAATGTTTTCTTCACATCCACATGTTTGTACAATAATACAACAGGCACTCGTGCCAAGATCAACCCCTTCTTCTTAACTTCATTATATTTTAGTATGAAAGGTATTCTGAATTTCTTTTGAACATCATACATCATGGACACATTATTATGAGCAGCATTACACAGGTAGAATCAATAAGTTGTACATTGAAATAGACACATCTTTCATGTAACACAAACAATTCAGCAATCAGGGTTACTAGCTCACATAACGTGTACTGGATAATTCATGACTCAATTGATTTGCACATATGGTCATAAACATTATGGCCACTCCTAATTATTTTCTAAAAACGCTTCACCAAAAGAATGGAATATAGATTTCTGCACAACAGATACACCAGTACTCAATGTATGTTACAGTATCCATTGATTTTTTTATTAGTTCATTGCAGTCATATTTGGAGTGTAAACTTGGGTGATACCAAAACCACATGATGGTCACAGTTGGAATGAACATCTAAATACTAAAAGAAATAAGTATGTGTGCTATTGTGCATGTTCAAAGTCAGTGAATAATAAATATGACAACTATCAGCTATACTCACTGCCAAAAGAAACGCGGACCATAGAAACATATAGAGAAGTATGTACGTTAAGAAGAGATGTTTCCAATGTGTACCAATTGATGAAAAAACTAACAATTAGCCAAGTGTATCCACCGAGTGATTTTATTCTTATCACGTTATGCGGCGCATGATTTTCAAACTTTACACGTTAATCCTGCACAAGACAGATGGTGCATCTTAAGTCACGGATCTATAACGTCATAAAGAGTGCATTCACGAGCATTAGTTCACATTACATACCAGCATGTTCTTTTCTGCATCGAACCAGATCTGAGATCTCTTGAATATGAGTAAGTCTTCATATAGTAACCAACATGTATGGTATTAGCTGAGGTAAATATATATTTCAACATAAGTGTTGTGGACACAGCACATTTGCTTGTATCATTCAGAACAATCAGTTTCATAATTGTAATTTACAACTACAAAAAAGGGAATGCACAAATATAGCATAATATTAATAATAATATATGTATGAGTGAGTGAATGAGTATGGTTTTACGCCGCGTATAGCAACATTCTAGCAGGAGGACACATGGCGGAATTCTGTAATTACTTTTAATAAAGCACTCTTGTAGAGGCAAGGATAAAAATGCATATACATTTTATTGCTTCTTGTTTAACACCGTAACCAGCAGTATTCAAGCTATATGACGGTGGTCTGTGAATAATCGATTCTGGACAAGACAATCCAGTGATTGATACATGAGCATCGATCCACGCAACTGAGATACGATGACATGCATCAAGCAAGTCAGTGAGCCTGACCACCCGATCTCGTTAGTCGCCTCTTACGACAAGCATAGTTGCCTTTACTCCAAGCATGGGTTGCTGAAGACCTATTCCAACCCAGATCTTCATTGTTTTTTTCATAGTTTGCAAAGTTAGTATCAAATGATTAATGAACATACATGCCATGTCCATCCTTGATTATTTAATGTATTCTATCTTTATTGACAAATACCATGGCCCATTTGCTGCCATTGGATTGTTTAGAGAGTGAAGTCATTTGACGATTTTGTTTAATCATACTCAAACAAAGTTATAGTAGCAAATGGGTCCATGTTGTTTATTACCCACGTGGAGAAGATACAGGTGGTAAGATACTAAATCCGTACGTCACACGCGTGTCGTACAAGGTTGACCTTGTTTTATTCGTTTTGATTGGATAACCGTGACCTCTGTCACACCGGGACTACTTTTTTAGTTCATAAAAATTCGCGAGACGTCATTCATTTTGCAACTACAAGGCAGAACTGAAACATTCTCATGAGAGCCAGAGATATTTACAAACACTTAATTAAAACAAACAAGATAGTCACACGCATCGAGGGTCCCCATTAGCGTGACGCACCCGCCCGATTTTCCGGTTGTGCAATCGAGGGGTATTTTGTAGCACTGTTTCGGGAGTTGTTTGTTCACGACTGCACTACCAGATAACTCAAAGTGAACATTTCCGATACAAATCATACGAAAACTCCGTAGAAGTATGCCTGTCTTCTTATTATGTGGCCCAAAAAATCCCAAATGTGAACAATAACATTCCCCATCTCTAGCGTAAAACACTGAGTAGATCACGGTTGTCTTTTCTTATTCCGGTGGTGACCTTGCCCTTCGTTCTAAGCCCTTCGTTGGTCTGTCAACGAACGAAAGTTGTTATGTATTTACACAAAAATATTTATTTAACGTGGGTAATAAATCAAATACCTAACTCATTCTCGTTAGACACCATTTTTTACGAAACGAGTGGACTTTCTATGTTTGCTCGGTCAGATACCTTAGAAAGTTCACGAGTTTCGTAAAAAATGGTATCTAACGAGAATGAGTGAAGTATTCTCTATCTATCACAATAGAATGTACAATGCACAGAACAATGGACAATATGAACCAATGACTCAAAAGAAGTCAACGAACACCAACTTCTTGAAAAAAAACTAGTTAATCTCGTTGACAGATCAACTGTAGTCATATGAAAGAATTCAATGTTCTTCAACATCTTTTGAGTAGTATATATACATGAAATACAATCTGACCAATGTTCACCGTGCCGGTGTCTACAGGGGTTCCATCCAGGTCAATGGCACACACCACACCCCCAACCCAGGCTTTGCGGATGTTTATTTGCCATGTGAGGAATTATTTTGGATATTTTCACAAAATAATTCCTAATCAGATTTCAATGGCTTCTTGGTAACCAAAGTATGTCGGAAAAATCTGGTCAATAAGCGTTCCACTTTCAGTAGTAAGAATTTCTAGTTCTGTTGCCCATGTTCCAACATGCAACATTCGTGATTCAGAGATGTATTGTTCAGTGGAGTCATAACCTGGTCTTAAGAATGCATGGAAGCTTTCAGCATGTTCTCTTAGGTGTTACACAACAGCCTGTCTGCTTTCCCTGTTTTCTTTGCCAGAGATTGCATGGGTCAAACTTCAAAAGAAGCAATTGCCATCACCTTCATTAGGTATTGTTCTGCACGGTTCACCAATTTCCATACCAAACTCATGATCTTGGGCTTTTGATACACATAGATGTTGAATATCAAGCTTCTTGCACAGCAGTTCACATACATTTGATGATACAGGGCTAAAGAGGATCACACTTTCATCAGTTGTAATTATCTCAACATTTCCATCTTGTGAGTTCTCGTCAAGTTCATCAATGTCAACCACATCATCCTGATTATACTCATTGGCTTCATCAAGCTCAATTATTTCAACACTGCCATCTTGTGAGTTGTCATTGAGTTCATCATTGTGCATATCATCATGATCATACTCATTGGTTTCACTTGCTGTATTCTCTGACTGGTTGTCAAAAGAAATAAGCAAAGGTTGACCTGAAAAATGCATAGAGATCTGTGCGAATTCATCCTAGTAGCCACAAGTATACAGATCTTTCATGGCTCTTCGAAGGAGACTCGGACTACACTTATATGTATGACGCCAAGTGCCCTTTGGTTCTTTCAAGAGTCCTCGTATTTTTCAGACTTTAAATAGTGCTGTTTGTCGCATTATGAAACAGCACTATAATTCCAACTGACATTGCATAATTAGATGAGTTCTTGAATATTTGTGACTCAGCAAAAGGACAGGCGAAATTGCTGGACGTGCTTCAGTTTCTGGGATTTAATATAATCTGGAACAAGGTGGATGGTCCTAGCCAGAATATTGTTTTCTTAGGAATTGTGATTGATACAACAAATGGTGTGCTTTCTCTACCTTCAGACTAAGTGACAGTTGTTAAACAAGAGCTGTTGGAATTCAATAACATTGGAAACGATCAACAATAAAGCAGTTGGAAAGTTTAATTGGAAAGCTCAATTGGGCAAGCATGGTTAAAAAAGGAGGAAGAACATTTTTTAGAAGAATTATTGATCTAAAGAATACTCTGCAGTCCCAGAAAGATAAATTGCAATTGAACGCTGACTTCCATGAAGATGTGAATTGGTGGCTATCTTTCTGTGGCTACAGACTTTCAATGGCACGACACATTTTCTGGACTCTAGACTTTACATACTGATGCATGTCTAAAGGGTGGAGGTGCTTTATGTATGCCAATTGGGCCACAGATATTGCCATATGTTTGTGATCAGCACATTAACTGTAAAGAAGCCATGATGATCATATTAGCAGTTATGAGATGGTGTCACCACTTCGTTGATAAAGTGGTTATTGTTAAGACTGATACCAAACTGCAAGATCAATTATCAATAAGCAGACGTCCAAGTCCCCCTTTTTAATGAAGTATTTGAGATAAAGTTCTGGTTACAGGCGTCATATTACTTTGTTCTACGAGCTGAATATATTCACGGACATCAAAACGTCATTTCCGACACCATTTCAAGAATTCATGAGAAAGGAAAGCTGTCAAATGTGTTTTCATTGTTGCCTAGCCTCCAGTTGTTACCTTTTTCATTTGAAAATCTGTCTACACACATGAGTTGTGATTTTATTAACATCAGATGGGGACGAGCATGGCGAGTTACAGAGGAGGCTAAGAAGCTCGGTACAGAGACTCAAGATGCAAGGGTGGGCAGTCGACCAAGTCAATGTATCGCAGTCAACTCAAGTGTTACACTGACTTTTGTGATCTGATCACTATTGATACAGTACCAGTGACACAACAGGACGTATTGCTCTATATTGCGTACTTGCGTGATGTGAAAAAATTAAAATTTGGCACTACACGTCAGTACTTGAGTATCATTTCAAATATCCATAAAGAAGGAGGATATCCAGATCCCATCAAAGATAATTGGCAAGTTCAACATGTTCTTCGTGGTGCAAAACGGGAAATAGGCGATGCTCAGACGGCTGCAAACCCTGTTACGCCAACAATGCTGTTAGCAATACATGACAACTTGGATTTAGGTTGTCCTTTTGGTGCCTGTGTGTGGGCTGCCTGTGTGTTAGGTTTCTTTGGTATATTGAGGGCAGGCACTTTTTGGTGTAAAAAGGTGCGTTTGTGGCAGAGAAGCCTATTCGTATTCAAGATGGAAGTGCAGTAGAGGTTGGTTATTATGTCAAGCTGAGGCACACTGAAACGCTACATTTTCGTGAGAAAGGTTTGGATATAATTCTGCCTAACATTCCTGGCCAGCCACTGGATCAAGGTCATGCTATCCAGTCTGTGCTAGAGTATCAGGCGGGTAGAGAGAGAGCTCAACCTTTTCCATTAGACAATAACTACCAAGCCCTTGATTATGACAGATTTGTGTCCATAGTACACCTTGCACTCAGGCGTTCTTGCAACCAACTAGTTGTGACTGGCCACTCTTTCTGCAGGGGTGGAGCATGCTGGGCCTTTGAGATTGCACTTCCTGGGGAGATCATTCAAGAAATAGGCTTCTGTAAAAGTAATGCCTATTTGAACATTAGACATACTACAAAACTGGACGCATTGACAACTTTGGGGAAATTACTCCCAAGAAGTTAGACTTTTCATTCACATTCCTTGTCAATGCCACGTTCCTCCTTATTCATTGTTTACTCACTGTGGTAAATCATTTATATTATTATTTACTTGGTATTGGGACTTTGGGATTTAACTATTCACTTTGCCACTTGTACGATCACCGCATGTTGATCAACGTTTCAATTTATTGTCTTTGTGCTCAGGCGCACATTAAAATTTCCCAGATTTTACTTCATCTTGTGTGGTCTTTTCCTTATAGATATGAATTTGCAATATGCTTTTTGTTACACCTCCAGTTAGATTAAAGTTGTATTTTGTAATGGGAGCGGGAATAGGCATCGGGTTCGCTTGCCGAGCTCACCACGTTACCACTCCCACCCTCGCAGTAGGCGTATTGGCTTGTGGTGGGACTGCATAGTGTAACTGCTATTCTATTAATGTCATGTTATATAGCTTCTGAGATTGTATGATCACTTCATGTGGATCAAGGCTCATATTGTTGGGAGATTTTACTATTCACTTTGCCACGAGTACGATCACCGCTTGTTGATCAAGGTTTCAATTTATTGTGTGTTTCCTTTTAGATATGAATTGGCAATATGCATTTTGTTACACCACCAGCTAGATTTAACTTGTTTTCCAAGGTTCAGATCGCGAGATTGCGAAAACGCGATAACGATTCTATGGGAAACACAGGCTCAAGGTAAAGACGGATTTATTACCTGCCAACACAAACATTGTTTGGAGAGTTGCGCTCTCATTCTCTTCAATGGCGTGTTAAAGTAAAGAGAGGTTATCATGTTCCTCGTGTAGAGGTTTTAGAGGAATTATTCGACTTTCTTTTCATGGCTAACAGGTAAAGAGGTAGGTGTGACTTGTCAAATTATTACAAATATTCATCGTCACATTTGCTAATGAATACACTGCATTATTCTTGGGATCCAGGTATCCATTCACTGTCGGAAAGAGGATCCCATGGCTGAATGCGTGTCATCTGTCCCAATGTTTCTGCTTTCAGTTTCTTATTCTCCGCTGCTTCCCCGTTGCACCTCCGCTGCTTCCCCTCTGCGCCTCCGCTGCTTCCTCTCTGCGCCTCCCCGTTGCACCTCCGCTGCTTCCCCTCTGCGCCTCCGCTGCTTCCCCTCTGCCCCTGCTGCTTCCCCGTTGCACCTCCGCTGCTTCCCCTCTGCGCCTCCGCTGCTTCCCCGTTGCACCTCCGCTGCTTCCCCTCTGCGCCTCCGCTGCTTCCCCTCTGCCCCTCCGCTGCTTCCTCTCTGCGCCTCCGCTGCTTCCCCGTTGCACCTCCGCTGCTTCCCCTCTGCGCCTCCGCTGCTTCCTCTCTGCGCCTCCGCTGCTTCCCCGTTGCACCTCCGCTGATTCCCCTCTGCGCCTCCGCTGCTGTCTCTCTGCGCATCCGCTGCTTCCCCGTTGCACCTCCGCTGCTTCCCCGTTGTCCCTTCGCTGCTTCCCCGTTGCACCTCCGCTGCTTCCCCGCTGTACCTCTGCTGCTTCCCCGTTGCCCCTCTGCGTTCCTCTCTGCGCCTCCCCGTTGCACCTCCGCTGCTTCCCCTCTGCGCCTCCGCTGCTTCCCCTCTGCCCCTGCTGCTTCCCCGTTGCACCTCCGCTGCTTCCCCTCTGCGCCTCCGCTGCTTCCCCGTTGCACCTCCGCTGCTTCCCCTCTGCGCCTCCGCTGCGCCTCCGCGATTGTGGATATGGTAAAACAATTATAGCTCGAGTTCTGTCTGTGTGTAGCAGGGCGATTGTGGAAATTGTCAAACATCTATAGCTCGGGCTCTGTCTGTGTGTAGCAGGGCGATTGTGGATATGGTAAAACAATTATAGCTCGGGTTCTGTCTGTGTGTAGCAGGGCGATTGTGGATATGGTCAAACAATTATAGCTCGGGTTCTGTCTGTGTGTAGCAGGGCGATTGTGGATATGGTAAAACAATTATTGCTCGGGTTCTGTCTGTGTGTAGCAGGGCGATTGTGGATATGATTAAACAATTATAACTCGGATTATGTCTGTGTGTAGCAGGGCGATTGTTGATGTGGTAAAACATTTATAGCTCGGGTTCTGTCTGTGTGTATCAGGGCGATTGTGGATATGGTAAAACAATTATAGCTCGAGTTCTGTCTGTGTGTAGCAGGGCGATTGTGGATATGGTAAAACAATTATAGTTCGAGTTCTGTCTGTGTGTAGCAGGGCGATTGTGGATATGGTAAAACAATTATAGCTCGAGTTCTGTCTGTGTGTAGCAGGGCGATTGTTGATGTGGTAAAACATTTATAGCTCGGGTTCTGTCTGTGTGTATCAGGGCGATTGTGGATATGGTCGAACATTAATAGCTCGGGTTTTGTCTATTTATCTTGACAGTTGTGGATATGGTTTAACATTAATAGCTCGGGTTCTGTCTGGATGTGGTTAAACATGTGTTTCTAGAAATGTGACCTGCCTCCTTAAATAGTAGACAAATATAGTTTTAGTCCCATTTTGTTTTCAACTTTTGTTTGTAACTAAGGTCATTAATGGGTTTTTCATTTTTGTTAACATCACCCTTTTGGACAATACTAATATATGTATGCCGAAGCATGATAACTGGGCATCCCAGGCTTGCGACATGTGGCTCACTTCACTTGTTTTCAATTATGCCATTGTTTACATTTTCTCGGAACCTAAAGCTTACTATTGACTGAGGGTATTTCTTGTTTGAATGGAGATATAAACATTGGAACTTGACATTCAGAACAATACATGATTGACTTTCCCCCCCGAATAAACACGTTAATCCATTTATGCAACCTGCAGTCTATGTTTTGATGAATTTTATAGGACCAATTCCTACACGGTTTGCGCTTTCAGTATGACTCGCACTGCAACGTCCATGGCGTCCATTCACAATGCTTATGCGTATGGGATGGAATAATTTACGTACAGTAAAACCAAGATGACGACATAAGGAATTAACACTGCAAACACGAAAACGTCGTTTTTTCGGATATGGGCAATGGACGGAAAAACGACTTAACATTCATTAAAATTGATTAATTGGTGAACAGAAAGTACAGAAAGTGTACGGAGAAACGTCTAGGTTTTTAAGCGGAAAAAAGACGGATTAACGATGCCTATTGCCCCGCCTTGTACAAATGTAAACGACCAATCACATTGCGCCGGTCCCCTGACGCACGTGATGACCAAGGCGTCCTTTAGTAGGTTTTGTATTTCTGGCTGCGGTGGCATGGTTTTCTTTGGTATCTGTCCCTCGCAGTGCAGCGAGATTTGCTGATAAGCCAGGTTTAAGATATTTAAACTTTCAACTGTTGGAATTCAGACACGCGCCAAGACGTCAAACTAAACCATGTTACCAAGTTTATTGACATCACATATCCCTCCATGCACAAATAGCTCTATCGGACACTCGGTTGCCAATTATTTGGTTACAACACTAAATGAAATAGGTAAATCTTGAGAGATGTTGCTTATGGCGATTAGAATGGACTATTATTACTTGAGTTACTTACACTCAACATTGTCCTTGTTATTGTATGTAATTGTAATTATCTATCTTCAAGATAAAATATACCATACACAGGGCGTCATCAGTGCATTTCGCCGACAGTTTTATCAAAACACCTTTATGCGCCAGTGATTTATGTAATTTCAAGTTCACCCCTTTTGTTACATTGTCGACTCACCCAGGCAGGCGGTAAAAATAGAGTTGCTACGAGTGGATCCATAACGCAGTATCCATCCATAACAAAGAAAGATCACACAACAATTAAAGAACAATTTATTGCTGTCCGATCAGTAAATAAAATGTGAAATGTCTTACTTCTTGCTACAATATTGCCCCATATCCCATCAAGCTCCAATAAATTTCACATTACAGATAAATCAATCGAAATCCAGTTGATACATGGTGGTACAACCTGGGTTTAACCATTGACTTAACACTTATTTCCCTTTAATGTAATCTCGAATTAATTGAGTGTTAAATAATTGATCTGTTTGTTAATCTTTCTGTTCGGTATGATCAGTGGTCTCTGTTACTAAACAACAATCGGAATCTACTCAGGAGTGCAGTTTGTTATGTAAATCTATTTATTGTTTCAGATCAGTTGTATCAATACCTATCCTCTACTCAACAATATGTGACAAACTATTTCATTCTTTATAGTTTCTATCACAGTACCCATTGCTAGCACTGTATACACCGCGACCAATATACCTGTCTGCTGTTGGGACTGATCCAATACCAACCAAACGGTGTAATTATAAGACTTCCCTGTAGGCGAAAGTATACCTAACCACACAAAGCTGCAAAAAAATGCTGGAATAATTCGGATGATTGCTTTTAAATGCATTGTAGATATAATGGAAAATAAACACCAAAATTATAGCTCGAAAAAAGGACGATACATGTTTTAATACAATACAATCTCAGAAGCGTGATAAGCTTAAACGCAGGAGTTTGTTGTTTTGAAACTCTTATAATTAAAAGATGGGTAGAGTTGTTTGTGTTAATGTTTGTATTTCTCTATTTTTGGGGAATTATTGATGCGGCGCCTGCTTGTCATCTGATGGACATCAATCATCAGCTGTCACCATCTGCAATGGTCTTGCATAAATGCCAGAACAGGGCCTGTAAATGGGACGTACTCTGGTAGTGTCACAATATTTGCTGTGATCCCAGCTAATTCCCCCCACTGGGGGATATAGTAGTAATTTAGTTCATGGTACCATGCTTGTATATGACCTATAATACGTGTTTAAAAATAAGGTTTTGGGGCGTGAATACAATTTACACCGGCGCTAGTATATTCCAATCAATTTAACTGGATATTGAAAACGGTTTCTTGTACATTACATTACTACACATAATTTTGCGACTAACGGGATCGGGTGGTCGGGCTCGCTGACTTGGTTGATGCATGTCATCGTATCCCAATTGCGTGGATCGATGTTGATGATATCAGTCGCTGGATTGTCACCGATGGCACCCGTCACAAACACATGTAAGGACAAGTCAATCAACGGAAACATGATTGTACTAATATAGTGATGTCAGTCCTCACTATTGCCGATCATTAAACATATTTTGTGTATTTTGCGCATCAAAAGCGCATGCCGTCACAGATATGGCACCAGTCACAAACACATGCAAAGACAAGTCAATTGTTATCCCATGCCAACCACGGAAACATTATGGTACAAATGTAGTGATGTCAGTCCTCACCACTGCCCAGCTTGAAAAACTTGTTCATCAAAATCATGGATGTGTATCGTCATATATTTGAACTCATCACCATCCCTTTATTGACAATCCTTATTGAAGAGCTAAGAAATCAAAAGCTGTAACAGTCTATTTTAACATTATATCATTAACAGGGCATGTTAGGTTTCGTTTTCATAGCTCGGTTCTATTTGATTTGATTTGGCATCACAAGAAATTAAAAAACGTAAATTTCGTAAAACCTTATTAGCAAACGTTATGAATGCATGTGCGATGATTCCATATATGTTATCTGTGCTCGCGGCGGGGTTACACCCATACACTTTCTTAAAGTGTTGACCATATTCTTAATAGGTAAGACGTTTTCATAGCTCGGTTCTATTTGATTTGATTTGGCATCACAAGAAATTAAAAAACGTAAATTTCGTAAAACCTTATTAGCAAACGTTATGAATGCATGTGCGATGATTCCATATATGTTATCTGTGCTCGCGGCGGGGTTACACCCATACACTTTCTTAAAGTGTTGACCATATTCTTAATAGGTAAGACGGCCAGACCACGTAGTACCTCGTCCACAATCCACACAGTGCAGTGATCGGCCGGATGATCTTATTCTGGGCTTCATAAGACAGGAGCCCAGTGAGATTTGTAATGAGTGAGTGATTATGGTTTTACGCCGCTTTTAGCAATATTCCAGCAGGGGGACACCAGAAATTGGCTTCACACATTGTACCCATGTCGGGAATCGAACCCGGGTCTTCGGCGTGACGAGCGAACGCGTTAACCACTAGGCTATCCGACCGCCCCTGTGAGATTTGTATCATATGTGGAGACGATATAGGAAAAGCTCTTTTCAGAAGAATACTTTTCAATGGAAGTGAAAAGCACGGCAACTGAGTAATCGTGCAGGTGTCCTGAATGTTTTATACTGAGAGAGTGCAACACAAACATTGTGTGTAATAACTGCATGGGTTTAGTGACAAGAGTACGCGAAAAAGTCAATCAATTGAGGTCGTTCTCATTTCCTGACAGCATAGCAACATATCATGGAGTTGCAAATATTCGACACTAAAAGCCTGCACCTGGTCAGTCAAAAGAAATCATACATGTGTTTTACGATTAAGCTTTAATCATAGTCACGATGGAGAATAGGTTGCCATGTGTGTTTGAATAGGCCAGGCCAGGCCACGATTAAGGCAAGAAATACTAATATTCATAATTCATAAGTAGCTTTGCTTCAAGCGTTGAATTAAGGCAGATATAGCAAGACTTGCATTTTGAAGATTATAGACTGCGTGCAAATACACATTTCACACATATGGAGCAGGACAAGGTCCAAGCCTCTCTAGCAACTTACCTCACCCTGTGCATGGGAAGGAAATGTGGTTCAGGGACTTGGGACAGACTAGGAGACAGCCTCCGGTGACAGTATCACACTGACAGGTAGGCAGATTCCCGCTAGACAAGTCAATATGTTTTCTTATTGTTCACCTAAACAAACCACGGAAAAACAAACACAGTGATGACAGTCCTCACTATTGCCGAGCGTAAAAGACATTTTGTGAATTAAAGTGAGTGACTGAGTGAGTATGGTTTACGCCGCTTTTAGCAATATTCGAGCAATTTCTACCAGTAATATATGTCAAACATTTGGTAAAATGTACTCACTGAGAGCATTAATGTTAATCAGATCGGAATATATTTGAACTCATTACTCATTCCATTATTGATAATCCTTCCAATGAAGAGCCATGAAATTAGAATCTGTAACAGTTTGTTTTAACATTAAATATTTTAAAGGGCTTGAGGTATATTTATAATATTTGCACCGATTACAGATTAATGTTCAAGTAATACTTTATTAACAAACACTATGAATGCATGTGCTATGATATGTCACGTGTTCAGTTTTGTTACAGTGAGGAAGCAGCACATATATAAGTCTATTTTGACCACTAATCATTATTCTGGATCACAATGGGTCCTCAGCTCAACTTATTTGTGATAAGGTACACGTTTCAATATTCAAGATGGACATATTTTTTTATACTACAAACCCTACAGCAGTGGTACATAGGCAATTGTATACACTGTTAAAATAGATGCATATACATCGGTGTAAAATTTAAAAATGCTTTTAATTATCAAATGTTTAGTTTGATTCAATACTTATTAAGAATATTTCGAATAGTTTTTTTGTTTTTTTTTCAGAATATTAAGATTTGGACGTTCCATTTGTCTTTAGTGCGGGTATCATTCTTGATATTTCTTTAGTATATTCAATAACCTTTGCTGGTGAAGAGTTTTACATCTAAAGACATAGTGGAACTCAGTTCCTCTGGAGGATGAGTTGCGTAACGTGAAGACTCTTCACGTAAATATTTCTTCATGATTATTTTATTCTAAATAGCAAAGATTAACAAATAACAAATCAGTATCAATCAAAAGCATATTATTAAGATAAGCTTACACGATTTGATAGCTTTGGACGATTTTTTTGTACGTGTACGTCTTTGTCACTAACGCGTATCTTATTTAGTCGTCATATGTTTGTACACAAAGAGGAACAAGTGTTCAATTGTAAAATTTTCGTTTGTCCTTTATATTCTAACCTTGCTCCAAGACTGTACTGAATGATATGTCGATCGATGGATAGTAATGCTAATCTATAATAGGCAAGCCTAGATAAGCTGACAATCTGAAGAGTCTTTTATAAGGACTATTGCTCTTATTATTTATGTAATTTAGTGAGTGAGTGAACGATGAGCGAGTGTGGTTTTACGCCGCTTTTAGCAATATTCCAGCAATATCACGGCGGGGGACACCAGAAATGGGCTTCACACATTGTACCCATGTCGGAAATCGAACCCGGGTCTTCGGCGTGACGAGCGAACGCTTTAACCACTAGGCTACCCGACCGCCCCTATGTAATCTAGAAATTATGATGTAATTTTGTAAGTCCATATATCTTCCAGCGGTCGGAATTTGCTCGGATCTAAAGAGAGATTGTGATATTTGAAGTTACAAGAGTACATTCCATTTACAGGCATGTACTGGCCATTACACTAGGCCATGCCACCTGGTCATAACTGATGATTAATGACCAACAGATATAACAGATGCAGATGACACAATTAAATTTTTTAAAAGGGTGAGAAAAAAGATTAAAACAAACATATCTACTCATGTTATATATATGTCAGTTTTGCTGTGTGTGGTTCCACTGTCCACAGTAGGGACATTTGGCCTAGGTTTAATTACACAAGTGGGAGCTACAAATTGTTCATGCTGACAGCCGCTAGCCCACTCTCTGTAGTTAGCTTTGCTCCACTTACTGAATGATAAGTCCATGGGTATATAGTAGTTCCATAATTATAATAGGCAAGTCTAGATAAGCGCAATCATCACCTCATGCATGTTGGGAGTTCTGAATACTCTGCACTGCGATATTTTGTTCCATAATAATTGAGTGAGGGTGGTTTTACGCCGCTCTTAGCAATATTCCAGCAATATCACGGCGGGGGACACCAGAAATGGGCTTCACACATTGTACCCATGTCGGGAATCGAACCCGGGTCTTCGGCGTGACGAGCGAACGCTTTAGCCACTAGGCTACCCGACCGCCCCTGTTCCATAATAAGAGTTAGCGAATGTGTCATAGTCGAGTGAACGTGAACTACATGATGGTTGTGTTTTAATCGTACATAGTTTTTTAATAAATTATTAGCAATAACGATTATCTAATTTAATCAGATTTCTTTCTCGTTAACGCAAACTATAATATCAGAATTAAATATATGCAACAATTCTTTGTTCTCTAACAGATACTATCAATTTGAGTATTGTGTATCTGTTTTTCGTCAATAGCCTGTGAATGCGTGTTGCAGTGGATCCTATTGCTGTGTGTACGTTTATGTTTTCCCCGTTTATTGGTACGTTATCCTTGTACATGTATGTGGACGCTCATACGAGGGGATATCAAAAGGTTTGGAGCCTCACACAGTATTCCTGGTCGAATGGTACAATGCGCTACACCCGATGTACATGAATGTCTTAGCTACTGATGCTATGTATAGAAACATATTGCTTGCTGAAATTATTTTGTCACAACACTTCGTGGAAGACACCTACCCCTAGTGAATTGGTAAAATGGACAAATCTGAGTACAGAGCGGTGATAAAGTTCCTTGTCCTAGAGGGTCAATCCGCCAACCAGGTGGAAGAGCGATTGACTGCAGTTTAAGGAGAGTCTTCCCCATCGTCTGCAGCTATCAAACGGTGGGTGAAGGAATTTCAGCGTGGCAGAGAGAGCTTAGAAGATGATGCCCGGTCCGGACGGCCATCAACCAGTACCAGCCCTGAACTGGCAAACTAGGTGGAATATGTGTGTGGAGTTGGGAGGTATGTTGATAAAAATAAAGTAGTAACAATCCAATTCTTTTACTTTTTCTGTGTGAGGCTCAAAACTTTTTGATATCCCCTCGCACATTCGTGTGAAAAACAACAAATACACCACAAGGGACATTTTCGCCTTCATGCATGTTTGACATTACACACATTTTAAATGTAAAGAAAAGTTCAGCTTAAAATATATCGGTATGTCGGCGATGAATCCGGATCGGAATGAGTCCCAAGCAACCTAAAGTTATAGTGCGTGCAACTCATGGTTGAAAGTATGGGGGTGTTGGCGTGAATCGTTGTTCCTAGTACAGCTCTTATAAGACAGCAGTCTTATAACGGGACTATTGCTGAGTGCGGCGTTAAACAGCACGCACACACTTTTTCCAACTGGAGAGCTTCAGCCATTTCAAATAGAGGCCCTGTACATATGTTGTTCAAACCAGCTCACTCACTCTGTTTCGAATATTTAGCGGAAACTACGTATTAACCGGCTGTGAGTTAAGATATCAGATTTCAACAAGAAGTCGAATAAGGAGGATAAGGGACCCTTCACAGATTTGGTTCTTGTTCGCTTAGAAAATTCATTAGCCATGTTAGATTATATAACCAAAGGCCAGCGGATAACGGATGGTAGCTCCGGATTTACGGATTCATCTGGTATGCACGCGCTGACTCGCGGGAATGTTTTCCCGTGAACACAACAAAACACAGACCCACAAGTAAATGATGGCAAATGTATATCTTCTCTTGGAATGCCATTAAAACTAGTATTTTGTATGTACTTGTATACATTCAGACTACATGATTCAGTGAATTAAATAACAAATTGCTTTTGAATAAACAACATGGATAGACCAACCAGGAAAAATATCGATTGAACCAGTTAAATTCACAGCATAACAGAATATAGTGTTTGATAATACTTGGTGCGTGATCATGTACATGTCCATTGCAGTAATGTACATACAAGTAAATTTGATTGTAATAAATAAATGATAATGTTAACTATGATACACCCCTTACATGTCATCTATGTATTAACATCGGACAATGAACGATAATTCATTATTCTAATTCAAGATAAAAATAACTTCGTCATGGGAATGTACCGGTGTCAGTGGACTAACAGTTCGTCCCTAAAATACAATTTTAGTAGTTAGAATTAAAAAGCTACTACATAGAATCCAAGTGGAGCACAAAACAATACTTGATTTCAGGGCCAGAACTGAGGCAATCTTGCCTTGCCAAATCATTCTTGACTTGAGTTGGAGTCCTTTTCAAATTTATTCTCTAGGGTCTGGGAGAATACGCTGTGAGTCTCGCATGGAGAACTGACTAGTAGAGGGAATCCCGCTTGGGTCAGCCTAGGCCAGTGTAATCGGTATCCTCCCATCAGTTACAGGTTCCAGTTGTCACACACCTTAAAACAACAGGTCATGGCGGAAGGCACTGACTGGTCTACCCTATGTTACCTAAGTATCAGAATGGAGTGATCCAAGAAAAGTAGAAAAGTAATATTGTGCTTTATATACTGGTATTTCACACTGTAGAAAAGTAAACTTGTACTTATTTATGTGAAGTATATACCCACAAAGACATAACATGTTATAAAGATATAAATAATTATTCTTTATTTGCACTGGTAGTAGCACTGATTAATTAATTGAATTGATTGTCTCTGAATAGTCTTTGTGTGCTCCAACCCTGCATTGAAGCCTGCAGCAAAGTCGATGAAGAGCATGTTCCCTTCAAACAAACACAGGCATATTTTGATACATGAAAGATCTTCTTGTGCATAAATGGAATTCCAAATGTCTACCTCGTTTGCAGAAACTGTTCAAGATAACAGTACTCTCTGTCAATGCGTTCAACATGTCAATTCGTTTCGCACGTGGTATATTGACGTGGTCCCAGCTGGCATTACAATATCTATTCATATGAGCCTCAAACTCGAAATTGGTTATTGATCTGGCGCTGCATAATACCACACAAAAGATGTATTTCCTAAGGGATAATTACCGAGCCACACGCTTCAGCCGGAGG